ACCCCAAAACCCCCAAAGCCACCCCACTAGCTCACCATTGTGAGGCCGAAAATAACCCCTGAGACCCCAAGCCCCCCCAAAGCCACCCCCACCCCGGCCACAGTGCTGCCTGCTGCTCACCATGGTGAGACCCCAAAAACCCCCAATACTTACCCCCACGGGACCCCAAAGCTGCCCCCAAAGCCACCCCACCCTGGCCCACGGTGCTGCCACTGCTGCTCACCGTGGTGAGACCCCAATATACTACAACCCCCAGCCCACCTGGCCCCCCCAAATTCCCCGCTCCTGTTCCTGGGCCCCCTGACCCCGCTGTCTGTGGTGGGGTTGCAGAGTAGGGAGCACCCCTAGACACCCTCCCAAGCCCCCACTGGCCCCCAGGGAGGGCTGGAAAGAGGTCTGGCCCCCCTGCCCCCCCAAACCCCCAGATCCTGTTCCTGGGCCCCCTCATCCAGCTCTCCATGGACTGTCCCTGGCGCTGGCTCGACGGCATCAGGGGGGCCCTGGGTAAGGGGGGGGCTCCAGTTTGGGGGTCCTCAAATCTGGGGGGCTCAGGGAGTCGTGAAGCGTGGAGGGGGTCAGTGGGGGATTTGAGGGAGCAGTGCTGGCTTTGGGGGTTTTGGGGTCACTTGGGTGTGTTAATGGGGGTTGGAGGATTTTTGGGGGCCCTTTGAGTGGCTTTGGGGAAAGGGGGCTCGAATTTGGGGGGTCGGGAGGAGTCCCCAATATGGGGGTGGAATCTGGGGGGGCACGGAGTGGGTTTGGGGGTCTTTGGGAACCCTGGGAGGGTGAATTTGGGGGTGATGAGTTGGGGAGGGGGGCTGGATTTTGGGGGGTTCCTGTTGGATCAGGGGACCCCCAGTGGGTCAGGAGTGTGGGGGGGTTTTGGGGACCCTCGTGCCCCCCAGACCCCAACTCTGGGCGCTGTTCCTGGGGGACGTGTGCTGGAACCAGGGGGTGGGGGTTGGTTTTGGGGTTGTTTGTGGGGGTCTGGGGGGCTCCAGGGGTCTGAGGCTGAGCCCCGCTGGGGTTTGGGGTGCCCCCCGTGCCCCCCAGACCGCCCGTCTGTGGGCGCTGTGCCTGGGGAACGTGCACTGGAACCAGGGGGTGGGGGTTGGTTTTGGGGTTGTTTGTGGGGGTCTGGGGGGCTCTGGGGTCTGAGGCTGAGCCCCGCTGGGGTTTGGGGTGCCCCCAGTGCCCCCCAGACCCCCGTCTGTGGGCGCTGTGCCTGGGGGACGTGCGCTGGCTGCGGAACCAGGTGGTGGCCCCGCTGACGGAGGAGTTGGTGTTCAGGGCCTGCATGCTGCCCATGCTGGTGCCCTGCACCGGCCCCGGCCCCGCCGTCATCGCCTGCCCCCTGTTCTTCGGGGTCGGTGAGTGGAGACCCCTAAACGCCCTCAAAAACCCCTCCCAGACCCCCTGAACACCCTCTGACCCTCAACCCCCTGCACCGGCCCGGCCCCGCCATCATCGCCTGCCCCTGTTCTTCGGGGTCGGTGAGTGGAGACCCCCAAAAACACCCCAAAAACCCTCAGACCCCCTGAACACCTCTGACCCCTGTAGCTCCCCAGCCCATTTCCACCACGTGATTGAGGCAGTCTGTTCCGCCACGGCTCCGCCGGCAGCATCTTTATGGCAGCGGGTGAGGGGGCTGGGGAGATTGGGGGCTGGGGGTCCTGGGGGCGTTGGAGGGTCCTGGGGAGGGGTTGGGGTGGCTGGGGGTCCTGGGGGCGTTGGAGGGTCCTGGGGGCATTGGGAGGTCCTGGGGAGGGGTTGGCGTGCCCCAGGGAAGGTCTCGTGGTGTCCTGGGGGATCTAGGGGTCTCTGGGGGCTGTGGGGGGTCTGTGGGGGTCTGTGTGGGTCCCCAGCCCCCTGACCCCCTCCCTGTGTCCCCCCAGCGTTCCAGTTCTCCTACACGGCCGTGTTTGGGGCCTACACGGCCTTTCTGTTCCTCAGGACAGGTGGGCTTGGGGGGCTCTGGGGGGTCTGGGGGCCCAGTGCCTCACCTGCCCCCAGGTCACCTGGAGGGGAGAGAGGGGGCGTTTGGGGGCTCTGGGGTGAGGTTTGGGGTATTTTGAGGACATGGTGGGTGGTTTGGGGACTCTGGCGTGGCTGAGGGGTCCAAGGGAGGTTTAGGGGTCTCAGAGGGTTTTGGAGGTCTCAGGGGGTTTGGGGTCCTGGGATGGTTTGGGAGATCTCAGAGGGTTTGGGGTCCTGGGGGTTTGGGGGTCTCAGGGGGTTTGGGGTTCCCAGGGAGGTTTGGGGGTCTCAGGGGGTTTGGGGGTCTCAGGGGGCTCTGGGGGTCTCACCTGTGCCCCCTCCCCAGGTCACCTGGCGGGGCCGGTGCTGTGCCACTCGTTCTGTAACTCCATGGGGTTCCCGGCCCTGGGGGCCGCCCTGGGGCACCCCCGGCGCCGGGCGCTGCTCCCCGCGTACCTGCTGGGGGTCCTGGGCTTCCTCGTGCTGCTGCACCCCCTCACCGAGCCCGCCTTCTTCGGGGCCGCCTCCCTGCCGCGACCCCCTCCTGCTCCTGACACGGGCAGGGGCGCCTGCCCCTCCCCCTCCCACCCCCTTTTTATAGGAGCCGCCGCAAAGAGTCTATTTTTGTGATTAAAGTGGTTTAAGGCTTTGGGGCGGACTGGGATGGACTGGGGGGGGACTGGGAGGAACCTACAACTGGGAGGGACTGGGATGGACTGGGAGGGACCTGGAACAGACTGGGAGGGACTGGGGGGGCCTGAGAGGAACTTGGAACAGACTGGGAGGGACTGGGATGGACTGGAAGGGGCTGAGGAGGGACTGGGGTGGGATGGGAATGGGACTGGGACAGACTGGGAGGTAACCGGTGGAACTGGGATGGCCTTAGGAGGGAGAGGGAGGGACTGGAGAGAACTGGAATGGATTGGGGGGGGCGGTCCTTGAGCACGCTGGGCTGAACTGGGAGGGAACTGGGAAGGACTGGGACAGAGCGGGAATGGCCGGGGCTGCCCCGGGTCCTTCGGGCCGCCAGGGGGCGCGGCCCCGCCCCGCGCAGGGACCTCTCAGCGCGTGTCCGGCGGCGCTTTATTGCCCCACGTGACCCCGTACACCCGCCACGCCCCTCGAGGTCCCGCCCCAAGTCCCACCCCCGCAGCGAGGCCCCGCCCCCAGAGACCCCCGATCAGGGCCGGGGGGAATCACAGGGGGGGCTGTGCCAGCCCCAGCTGAGTCCTGGGGGTCCCAGAGACCCATCCTGGGGGTCGGGGTCCCATCCTGGGGGTCCCAGCCCCAGCTGAGTCCTGGGGGTCCCAGGGTCCCATCCTTGGGGTCCCAGCCTGAGCTGAGTCCTGGGGGTCCCAGGGTCCCATCCTAGGGGTCCCAGCCCCAGCTGAGTCCTGGGGGTCCCGGTCTGCGCAGGTCGTTGCCGGCCTGCCCCAGCTCCTGGGGGGTCCCGGTGGTCCTGGCTCAGGGTGGGTGGTCGCTGTCCCATCCTGGGGGTCCTGGTGGGTCCCAGTTCTGGTGGTCCTCGTTTGTTCAGTTCATCCCATCCCGGTGGTCCCGTCCCGGTCCCGCTCAGGGTGGGCTGTCCCCAATCCCTGTGGAGGGTCCCGGTGTCCCCTGGCGGGGGTCCTGCTCAGGGCGGGTTGTCGCCGTCCCTCACGGGGGGGTCCCGGTGTCCCCTCGGGGGTCCCGCTCAGGGCGGGTTGTCCCCAATCCCTGTGGGGGGGTCCCGGTGTCCCCTCGGGGGGGTCCCGCTGGTCCCGCTCAGGGCAGGTTGTCCCCAATCCCTGCAGGGGGGTCCCGGTGTCCCCTCGGGGGGTCCTGCTGGTCCCGCTCAGGGCGGGTTGTCCCCAATCCCTGCAGGGGGGTCCCGGTGTCCCCTGGCGGGGGTCCCGCTCAGGGCGGGTTGTCCCCAATCCCTGCAGGGGGTCCCGGTGTCCCCTCGGGGGTCCCGCTCAGGGCGGGTTGTCGCCGTCCCGCGCAGGGTCCCGGTGGTCGCGGTGCCCCCGCGGGGCCGCGCCGTGGCTGTGGGCCTTGCGCACGTGCCGGTACAGGTCCCCGGACTGGGTGTAGGAGCGCAGGCAGTGGCGGCACTCGTAGGGCCGCTCGCGGGTGTGCACGGTGGCGTGCCGGCGCAGGGTGTAGGAGCACGAGAACGTCTTCCCGCACGTGGGGCACGTGGGGGCCTCCTCGGCGAACAGCCCGAAGCCCCCCCGGGGCTCCAGCGGCGCCAGGAACAGGGGGGGCTCCCGCAGCGCCGCCCCCAGCGCCGCCCCCAGCGCCGCCCCCTCCCCGAAGCCCCCGGGCCGGGCCGGAACCGGGGCCGGGGGGGGTCCCGGGGGGCGTCGGGCGCCGTCGGGCTCCTCGTCCGAGATCACGATGGCCTCGGCCTTGACGGCGGCGCGGGGTCCCGGGCGGCGCCGCTGGGGAGCCTCGCTGGAGCTGCTGGGGCTGGGCGGGGCGGCCGCTCGGGGGCCCTGCAGGCCACTCGCCCCCACGCCGGGCTGGGTCGTGTCGGCCGCGTCCACGAGCGGCGGCTCCGCGGGTCGCCGGCGGGGTCCGGGGGCTGCGCCGGGCGGGGGGCTGCAGCGGCGGTGCCGGCGGCGGGGGGCGTCCCGGGGGCTCCTCCTCGTCCTCCTCCTCCTCCTCCCGCGCTTGGTGCTGTCGGCCTCGGCGGGCCCCCGCGCCTGCAGCTCTTCTTGCACAGCTTGACCACGTCGTTCATGTGCAGGTAGCTGGCGGCCGCCAGCACGTCCTCGAGCGGCGCGGCCAGCGCCAGCCGGCCCTCGTACATGAACTCGAGCAGCAGCGCGAAGGCGGGCGCCGTCACGATGTCGCTGTTGAGGGCCACCACGGCCCCCCCGCCCCGCGCGGCCCCCGCGGCCCCGGGCTCGGCGTAGCACAGGTGGAAGAAGGAGCTGCAGGCGGCCAGCACGGCGCGGTGCGCGGGGAAGGGCGCGCTGCCCACCAGCACCGTGCAGTCGCACAGGATCCCCCGCGAGCGCTGCTCCCGCAGCCCCCGCAGCAGCTGCCGGGAGTGCTCCGGGAACTCCATCGGGCTGGGGAGAGACGGGGGGGACAGGGGGGTCACTGCGGGGCCAGGGGGCTCTGGGGGCAGCAGGGACAGAGGGGTCACTGCGGGGTCAGGGGTCCTGGGGGCAGCAGGGACAGAGGGGTCACTGCGGGGTCAGGGGGTCCTGGGGGGCAGCAGGGACAGAGGGGTCACTGGGGGGTCAGGGGGGCCCTAGGGGGCAACAGGGACAGAGGGACCCGCGGGGGGGGGCTGCTCTGGCTGGGACACCCTGTGGGGCCCTGTCCATCCCAGTGGGGCCCTGTCCATCCCAGTGGGGCCCAGTCAATCCCAGTGGGGCCCAGTCCATCCCAGTGGGGTCCAGTCAATCCCAGTGGGGCCCCGTCCATCCCAGTAGAGCCCAGTCCATCCCAGTGGGGCCCCGTTCATCCCAGTGGATCCCAGTCCATCCCAGTAGGGCCCAGTCAATCCAAGTGGGGCCCAGTGCATCCCAGTGGATCCCAGTCCATCCCAGTGGGGCCCCGTTCATCCCAGTGGGGCCCTTTTCATCCCTGTGGAGCCCAGTCCATCCTTGTGGGGCCCAGTCCATCCCAGTGGGATCCCATCCATCCCAGTGGGGCCCCGTCCATCCCAATAGGGCCCTGTTCATCCCAGTGGGGTCCCTCAGTGCCAGTGGGGCCCATCTCAGTCAATCCCAGCATGGCCCACCCAGACCCAGTGACTCCCAGTTTGCCCCTTTCAGCCCCCAGTGGGTCCCAGTCCCTCCCAGTTCCCCCCAGTCCCTCCCAGTTCCCCGGCCCCGCTCACACCACAAAGCCGCGGCCCTGCCGACGCCCCGCCCCCCCGCGCTGATTGACCGCCTGACCCTCCGACTGCTGCGCCCTCATTGGCCGGGATGCCTGTCACTCAACAGGGCCGGGCAGAGCGAACCCGGTGGCGCTCGCTGATTGGCTGCGCGCACAGCCGCTCAGAGAAGCTCGCTGCTGATTGGCTGCTCGGGGAGGGGCGGGCAGCGGACACAGGGACGGCGGTTGCCATAGCAACGAGGACGGGGCGTTGCCGGGGAAACCCTCGGAGGGCGGGGCCAGCAGCCAACGGCGCATTCTGATTGGACACTCGTGCGTCACTCAGCAGCCCCGCTCTCTCATTGGCTTCTCCTCCTCCCTCACGGACCTTTCCCGCCCCCTCCCCGCGCCGCGCTCTGATTGGCGGCGGGGCTTTTTTGTTCCCGGTAACCGGGGGAGGCGGGACCCGGCGGGGAGGCGTGGCCAAGGCGGAGCTTGTGGGCGTGGCTTCCCTCAGCCAATGGCGCGCGGCGGCGGCGGGTCAGGGGCGGGGCCAGGGGTCAGGCCGGATCCAAGATGGCGGCTGCGCCGGGGCGGTGAGCGCGGGGGGGGCGGGACCCCCCCGGGAACCTCCCGGGACCCCCCCAGGACCCCTTGGGTCACCATCCCACCCCTAAAGGGACCCCGTACCCAGGACCCCCAGGACCCCGCCCGGGGCCGCGGCCTCCCGGGCTCCCCCAACTTTCCGGGCCTGAACCCCCCCCACGGCCCCCCCTCACCCCGGGACCCCCAGGCACCCCCACAACACACACCGGGACCCCTGCACTCCTCAGGGGAGCCCCCGCCCCAAACCCCCAGGACTCTTCCCGGGACCCCCGATTGTCCCCTGTGCCCCCCCGTGGATGTTGGGGGTCCCTGACCCACCCCCGGTGGGTTTGGGGGTTCCAGAGCTCCCTGACTCCCCAGGCGGGTTTGGGGGTTCCAGCCCCCTGTGCCCCCACGGTGGTTTCTTGACCCCACCTGGTGTGTCGTTGGGGTCCCTGACCCCCTGTCCCCCTGACCCCCTGTCCCCCAGGTGGTCGCTGTGGCTGACCCTGTTCCTGGGGGTCTCTCTGGGGTCCCTGTCCCCCTGGCCCCCCTGTCCCTCCTGACCCCCTGTCCTCCTGACCCCTGTCCCCCTGACCCCCTGACCCCCTGTTCCCCCAGGTGGTCGCTGTGGCTGACCCTGTTCCTGGGGCTCTCTGGGGGTCCCTGACTCCCTGACCCCCCTGTTCCCCCAGGTGGTCGCTGTGGCTGACCCTGTTCCTGGGGGTCTCTCTGGGGTCCCTGTCCCTCCTGAACCCCCTGTCCCTCCTGAACCCCCCTGTCCCCCTGTCCCCCTGACCCCCTGACCCCCTTGTTCCCCAGGTGGCCGCTGTGGCTGACCCTGTTCCTGGGGGTCTCTCTGGGGGTCCCTGTCCCTCCTGAACCCCCCCTGTCCCTCCTGACCCCCATGTCCCCCCAGGTGGTCACTGTGGCTGACCCTGTTCCTGGGGGTCTCTCTCGCCGTCGACCGAAGCAACTTCAAGACCTGCGACCAGAGCGGCTTCTGCAGGTCTGGGGGGCGTTTGGGGACCCCCCCGGGGGGTGGCACGGCCCGGGGGGGTCACTGAGGGCCTTTGTCCCCCCCGCCATGTCCCTCCCCCAGGCGCCAGCGCCGGATCCAGCCGGGAAATTCCCCGTTCCGGGCCCTGCTGGAGTCGCTGGAGCTCGTCCAGGACTCGGCCCGGGTGCAGCTGCTCAATGAGGTGACACAGGTGAGGGGATGGGGGGGACACAGGGGGGTCACTGCCCCCCAAAACAACCCCAATTTACCTGCTCAATGAGGTGACACAGGTGAGGGAACAGGGGGGATACGGGGGGGTCACTGCACCCCAAAACAGCCCCCATTTACTCTTTCAATGAGGTGACACAGGTGAGGGAACAGAGGGGTCACAGGGGGCTCACTGCACCCCAAAACAACCCCCATTTACCTGCTCAATGAGGTGACACAGGTGAGGGGATGGGGGGGACACAGGGGGGTCACTGCCCCCCAAAACAGCCCCCATTTACCTGCTCAATGAGGTGACACAGGTGAGGAGATGGGGGGGGTCACTGCACCCCAAAACAACCCCCATTTATCCTGTCAATGAGGTGACACAGGTGAGGGGACAGGGGGAGACATAAGGGGTCACTGCACCCCAAAACAACTCCAGTTCACCTGTCAATGAGGTGACACAGGTGAGGGGACAGGGGAGGTCACTGCCCCCCAAAACAACCCCCATTTACGTGCTCAATGAGGTGACACAGGTGAGGGGACAGGGGGAGACATAAGGGGGTCACTGCACCCCAAAACAACCCCCATTTACCTGTCAATGAGGTGACACAGGTGAGGGGATGGGGGGGACACAGGGGGGTCACTGCACCCCAAAACAACCCCCATTTACCCTCTCAATGAGGTGACACAGGTGAGGGGACGGGGGGGACACAGGGGGGTCACTGCCCCCCAAAACAGCCCCAGTTCACCTGCTCAGTGAGGTGACACAGGTGAGGGGACAGGGGGGACACAGGGGGGTCACTGCCCCCCAAAACAGCCCCAGTTCACCTGCTCAGTGAGGTGACACAGGTGAGGGGATGGGGGGGACCCAGGGGGTCACTGCACCCCAAAACAACTGCAATTCACCTGCTCCATGAGGTGACACAGGTGAGGGGATGGGGGGGTCACAGGGGGGTCACTGCACCCCAAAACAACCACAATTCACCCAGTCAGTGAGGTGACACAGGTGAGGGGACAGGAGGGACACAGGGAGGTCACTGCACCCCAAAACAGCCCCAGTTCACCTGCTCAATGAGGTGACACAGGTGAGGGGATGGGGGGGACACAGGGGGGGTCACTGCACCCCAAAACAACCCCAATTTACCTGCTCAATGAGGTGACACAGGTGAGGGAACAGGGGGAGACATAAGGGGGTCACTGCACCCCAAAACAACTCCAGTTCACCTGCTCAATGAGGTGACACAGGTGAGGGAACAGGGGGAGACATAAGGGGTCACTGCACCCCAAAACAACTCCAGTTCACCTGTCAATGAGGTGACACAGGTGAGGGGACAGGGGGAGACATAGAGGGGTCACTGCACCCCAAAACAACTCAAGATTCCTGCCTGTCAATGAGGTGACACAGGTGAGGGACAGGGAGGTCACTGCCCCCAAATAACCCATTGCCTGCTGGGCAAGGGGTGGCAGGTAGAGAGGGGGATGAGAGGGGACCGCAGGGAGATATGCCCAAACAACCCCCATTTACCTGCTCAATGGGGATGACACAGGTGAGATGGGGGGACACAGGTGAGGGGACAGGGGAGGTCACTGCCCCCCAAAACAACCCCCATTTACCTGCTCAATGAGGTGACACAGGTGAGGGGATGGGGGGGACACGGGGGGGTCACTGCACCCCAAAACAACCCCCATCTATCTGCTCAATGAGGTGACACAGGTGAGGGGATAGGGGGGACACGGGGGGGTCACTGCACCCCAAAACAACCCTGATTTACCTGCTCAATGAGGTGACACAGGTGAGGGGATGGGGGGGTCACAGGGGGGTCACTGCACCCCAAAACAACCCCCATTTACCCTCTTAATGAGGTGACACAGGTGAGGGGATGGGGGACACAGGGGGGTCACTGCACCCCAAAACAACCCCCATCTATCTGCTCAATGAGGTGACACAGGTGAGGGGACAGGGGGGACACGGGGGGGTCACTGCACCCCAAAACAACCACAGTTCACCCAGTCAATGAGGTGACACAGGTGAGGAGATGGGGGGGACACAGGGGGGTCACTGCACCCCAAAACAACCCCAATTTACCCTCTTAATGAGGTGACACAGGTGAGGGGACGGGAGGGACACAGGGAGGTCACTGCACCCCAAAACAACCCCCATTTACCCTGTCAGTGAGGTGACACAGGTGAGGGCACAGGAGGGACACAGGGAGGTCACTGCACCCCAAAACAACCCCCATTTACCCTGTCAGTGAGGTGACACAGGTGAGGGGATGGGGGGGTCACTGCACCCCAAAAGAACCCCCATTTACCTTGTCAATGAGGTGACACAGGTGAGGGGACAGGGGGTGTCACCGTGCCCGTGTCCCACCCGTGACCGGGGGTGGGTGACCCCCCGGTGACCCCCCAGTGACCCCGTCCCTGTCCCAGGGTGGGTGACCCCCTGGTGACCCCCCGGTGACCCCATCTGTGCCCCCCGGGCAGGTCCCCCTGCTCCTGGAGATCTGGGGGCTCCAGGGGAACATGACGAGGTTCCGGATCTCGGAGCTGAACCCGCTGCGGCCCCGGTTCCAAGTGCCCGACGTGCTGGTGGGGGACCCCAAAACCGAGAGGTGAGGGGCTGGGACCCCAAAACTGAGAGGTGAGAGGGGCTGGGACCCCAAAACTGAGAGGTGAGGGGGGCTGGGACCCCCAAACCGAGAGGTGAGAGGGGCTGGGACCCCAAAACCGAGAGGTGAGAGGGGCTGGGACCCCAAAACCGAGAGGTGAGGGGGGCTGGGACCACAAAACAGGTGAGGGTGGAAAATGCAGCTTTTGGGGGGCTCCAGGGGTGACACAGATTTGGGGGGTCTCTGGGATGGGGGTCCCAGCGCCCCCCAGTTCCTGCTCCCCCAGGCTGGTGGGGGGAGAGGAGGGGGGGACCCTGGAGCTGTCCCTGGGCCCGGGGGGGTCTCAGGGGGTCCCAACATCCCCAATCCCCCCATTGCAGGCTGGCAGTGACGGGCAGGGACGGGGGGGTCCCAGGGGGGGTCTCAGGGGGTCCCAACGCCCCCAATCCCCCCGTTGCAGGCTGGCAGTGACGGGCAGGGACGGGGGCACCCTGGAGCTGTCCCTGGGCCCGGGGGGGCTGCGCCTGCTGGTGACGGAGCGGCCGTTCCGGATGGATCTGCTGCGGGAGCGGGAGCTGCTCTGCAGCGTCAACGCCCGCGGCCTCCTCGTCTTCGAGCACCTGCGGCGCCGCCGGGACTCGTGAGTGACCCCGAGCCCCACAGAGCCCTCCAGAGCCCCCAGAGCCCCCAGACCCACAGAGCCCCCAGAGCCCCCAGGCCTCCCAGAGCCCCCAGGCCTCCCAGAGCCCCCGGGCCATCGGGGTGGGTGTTGAACCTGCGGGAATGGGGCCGGGGGTGTCCCCGAGCCGAGGGGGGGTTGGTGTGAGTGCCCCCCAGCCAAAGGGGGGTCGCTGTGAGTGCCCCCCAGCCGAGGGGGGGTCGCTGTGAGTGCCCCCCCAGCCGAGGGGGGGTCGGTGTGAGTGCCCCCCCAGCCGAGGGGGGATCGCTGTGAGTGCCCCCCAGCCGAGGGGGGGTCGGTGTGAGTGCCCCCCAGCCGAGGGGGGGGAGGTTTCCCCCGAGCTGAGCTGAGGGGGGGGCTCCCTGGGCCGGGGGGGGCCCCACTGACTCTCGTGTGTTTCTGTTTTGGTGCCGCCCCCCCCAGGCTGGCGGATAAAGTTAGTTCTGTGTGGGATAAGATCAAGAGCCTTTTCCGTAGGTAAATCCTTGGATTTGCTGCTGTCTCTGCCCCCGCAACAAACCCTCCCCCCCCACGGAGCCCCCACCCCAAAAACAGAGCCCAGTGCGGCCAAGGGGGGTCCCTGTCCCCCACAGAGGGGGGGGCAGGAGCAGCTGGGGGTTGTGACCCCCCAGAGATGAGGAGCTGCCCCCCCTTACCCTGAGTAGGCAGGAGCTGCTGGGGGGGCTGTGCCCCCAAAACTGGGGTGGGTGTGGGGGGGCAGGAGGAGCTGGGGGTCCCTGTGCCCCCAAAGTCAGGGAGGAGCTAGGGGGTGACTGTACCGCCCCCCCACCATGTGGGGGTGCCCCCTGTCCCTGCCCCCCCTCTCCGGGGCACCCCAGTACCCCAAATTCCCGCAGGGACCCCCCCAAGGACCCCCCTGGCGAGGAGGGGGCGGCGCAGGAGGGGCCCGAGGACGGCGACGCCGGGAACCGCAGCCAGAAGGTGAGGGGGGGTCACACCCCCCAAACTGGGGGGATCCCTCTTGGGGGGCAGGGATTGCCCCTTTCCTGACGGGCTCTGCCCCCCCAGCCCCCCGAGCCCCCCGCGGAGCCCGAGGACGAGCCGGGGTCGTGGGAGGAGACGTTCAAGACACACACGGACAGCAAACCCAACGGTGGGGACGGGGGACATGAGGGGGGACACAGGGGGGACAAGGGGGGCCTGTCTGACCCCCCCTCCCTGCAGGACCCACCTCGGTGGGGTTGGATTTCTCCCTGCCGGGCTTCGAGCACGTTTATGGGATCCCCGAACACGCCGAGAGCCTGAGGCTGCGCCCCACGGAGTGAGTGGGGACAGGGGGACGTGGGGGGACAATGGGGGGACACTGGGGGACATGGAGGGACACTGGGGGACATGGGGGGACATGGAGGGACACAGGGGGACAGGGACACTGAGGGGACACAGTTTCAAACACGGGTGGGATCCCCGAACACGCCGAGAGCCTGAGGCTGCGCCCCACGGAGTGAGCGGGGACAGGGGGACAATGGGGGGACATGGAGGAACACAGAGGGATGTGGAGGGACACTGGGGGACAATGGGGGGACATGGGGGGACACAGGGACACCAGGGAGACATGAGGGGGACACAAGGAGGACACCTGGGGGACATTGGGGGACACAGAGACACGGGGACATGGAGGGACACAGGGACAGCAGGAGACACAGGGACACTGGGGGATGGGGGGACACAGGGACATGGGAGCATACAGGGAGGACACCAGGGGGACACTGGGGGACATGGGGACAACAGGGGACATTTGGGGGCACAGGGACACCAGGGGGACACGGGGGAACACAGGGACATCAGTGAGACATGGAGGGACACAGAGACACTGGGGGGACATGAAGGGACACAGGGGGACATGGGGGGACACAGGGACACTGGGGGGATACAGGGGGACATGGAGGGACACAGGGACATCAGGGGGACACGCAGGGACGTGGGGACATGGGTGCATCCAGGGAGGACACCAGGGGGACACTGGGGGATGTGGGGACACCAGGGGGACATGGGGAGGGACACGAGGACGTGGAGGGGACACGGGGGGACACGTCAGTGACACCCAAGGGTCAGCAGACACCCAAGGGTCAGCGACGCCCCAAGTGCCACCACCGCTGTCGCCGCCGCGGCGGTGACAGCGGTGGTGGCACTTAGGGCGTCGCTGACTGCCCCTGGGGGTTGTCCCTGTCCCCTCAGGGGGGGTGACCCGTACCGGCTGTACAACCTGGACGTGTTCCAGTACGAGGTGTTCAACCCCATGGCCCTCTACGGCTCCGTCCCGCTGCTCCTCGCCCACCGGCCCCGCCAGACCCTCGGCGTCTTCTGGCTCAACGCCGCCGAGACCTGGGTGGACATCGGCTCCAACACGGCCGGCAAGGTCCTTGGGGGGTGCTCTGAGGGGGTCCTGGGGGGGTTCTGGGTGTCCTGGAAGGGTTTTGAGGGTCCTGGAGGGGTTTTGAGGGTCCTAAGGGGGGTCAGAGCTGGGTGGACATCGGCTCTGACATGGCTAGCAAAGTTTTAGGGGGGAGGTCTGGGAGGTCCTGGAGGGTGCTGGGGTCCTAGAGGGGTTCTGGGGGTCTTGGAGGAGTTTTGAGGGTCCTGGGGGTCCAGGGGGTGTCCTGAGGGGCTCAGAGCTGGGTGGACATCGGCTCCAACACGGCCGGCAAGGTCGTGGGGAGGGGGGTTCTGGGGGTCCTGGGAGGGTACTGGGGGTCCTGGGGGGGTGCTGGGGGTTCTGGAGGGGTTCTGAGGATCCTGGGGGAGGTTCTGAGGGTCCTGCGGGTCCGGGGGGCATCCTGGGGGGCTCAGAGCTGGGTGGACATTGGCTCTGAGATGACCAGGAAGGTCCTGGGGGGGCTCTGGTTTTTCAAGGGGGGATTTGGGAGGGTCCTGACCCCCGTTCTCCCTGTTTTCCCAGACCCTCTTCGGGAAGCTGATGGATTACATGCAGGGAGGGGGCGAGACCCCCCAGACCGAGGTTCGCTGGATGTCGGAGAGCGGGGTCATCGACGTGTTCCTGCTCCTGGGGCCACGGCCCAGCGACGTCCTGGGGCAGTACGGGAGCCTCACCGGTACGGGGCACTGGGAGCACTGGGAGTGACCCTCGGGGGCACTGGGAGTGACCCTTGGGGGCACTGGGAGTGACCCTTGGGGCCACTGGGAGCACTGGGAACGACCTACCCCATTCCCAGTTTCCCACGCACTTCCTAGTACTCCACCCCCTTCCTAGTGTCCCACCCCCACCCTCGGTGTCTCATTCCCAATGTGCCACACCCATTCCCAGTGTCCCGTTCCTGGTGTCCCTTTGCTAGTATCCCTTTCCCAGTATCCCATTCCCAGTATCCCACCCCCGTTCCCGGTATCCCATTTCCAGTATCCCATTCCCAGTATTCCATTCCCAGTATCCCACCCCCATTCCCAGTATCCCATTCCCAGTATCCCATTCCCAGTGTCCCATTCTTAATATCCCATTCCCAGTATCCCACCCCCGTTCCCAGTGTCCCATTCTCAGTATCCCACCCCCATTCCCAGTATCCCACCCCCATTCCCAGTATCCCACCCCCATTCCTGGTATCCCATTCCCGGTGTCCCATTCCCGGTGTCCGTTTCCCCGCAGGGACGCAGGCGCTGCCGCCGCTGTTCTCCCTGGGGTACCACCAGAGCCGCTGGAATTACCAGGACGAGGCGGACGTGGAGGCCGTGGAGAGGGGCTTCGAGGAGCACGAGCTGCCCCTGGACGTGCTGTGGCTCGACATCGAGCACGCCGACGGCAAGCGCTACTTCACCTGGGACCCCACCAAATTCCCCCGGCCCCGACAGCTCCTGGAGCGCCTGGCGGCACGGAAACGCAGGGTGGGGATCCCTGGGAATGGGAATGGGAATGGGATTGGGATAGGATTGGGAACGGCTTCACCTGGGACCCCACCAAATTCCCCCGGCCCCGACAGCTCCTGGAGCGCCTGGCGGCACGGAAACGCAGGGTGGGGATCCCTGGGAATGGGGAATGGGATTGGGATTGGGGTGGGATTGGGTTGGGATGGGATGGGATCAGGAACAGCTTCACCTGGGACCCCACCAAATTCCCCCGGCCCCGACAGCTCCTGGAGCGCCTGGCGGCACGGAAACGCAGGGTGGGGATCCTGGAAATGGGGGGGGAATATTGGGATTGGGATGGGATCAGGAACAGCTTCACCTGGGATCCCACCAAATTCCCCCGACCCCGACAGCTCCTGGAGCGCCTGGCGGCACGGAAACGCAGGGTGGGGATCCCTGGGAACGGGGAATGGGAATGGGATTGGGATGGGATGGGATCAGGAACAGCTTCACCTGGGACCCCACCAAATTCCCCCGGCCCCGACAGCTCCTGGAGCGCCTGGCGGCACGGAAACGCAGGGTGGGGATCCCTGGGAATGGGAATGGGATTGGGATGGGATTGGGGTGGGATCGGGAACGGCTTCACCTGGGACCCCACCAAATTCCCCCGGCCCCGACAGCTCCTGGAGCGCCTGGCGGCACGGAAACGCAGGGTGGGGATCCTGGGAATGGGGGGGGAATATTGGGATTGGGATGGGATCAGGAACAGCTTCACCTGGGACCCCACCAAATTCCCCCTGCCCCGACAGGAGGGATTGGGATAGGATGGAGATCAGGATTGGGACCGGGGTTGGAGCGGGATGGAGATCAGGACTGGGATTAGGGTTGGAATAGGGATGGAATGTGGTGGAGATCAGGATCAAGAAGTGATGTTGGAATGGGATGGAGATCAGGACTGGGGTTAGCGTGGGAATGGGGTGCAGATCAGGATCAGGGATTGAGGTTGGAATGGGGTGCAGATCAGGCCCAGGATCAGGAGTTGGTCTTTGCCCCCCACCCCCCATCCCTGAGCTTTGGGGCGCCCCAGGGAGGGCGTTCCGGGGCTGTTGCAGCCGGGGCTGGGGGCTGGGGGTGGGCTGGGGGCTGGGGCCGGGCTGGGGGCCGTGCTGGGCCCCCTGACACAGATCCCACAGATGGTGAGCATCGTGGACCCCCACGTCAAGGTGGACGGGGGGTACCGGGTGCACGCCGAGCTCCGCGCCCGCGGCCTCTACGTCAAGACCAAGGACGGCCACGACTACGAGGGCTGGTGCTGGCCCGGTCAGTGGGGCTGGGGGGTCCTGGGGGTGTTTTGAGGGGGTTTGGGAGCTCAGGGGGGGTTTGGGGAGGCTCAGGGGGGGTTTGGGGGTGCTCAGGGGCGTTTGGGGTACCGGGTGCTCTCAAAGCTCCGCAGCCTTTGTGTCAAAACCAAGGAAGGCCGTGACCACGAGGGCTGGTGCTGGGTCGGTTGGGGGTCCTGGGGGGGTGTTTTGGGGGGCTCCAGGGGGGTCACAGAGCCCCTGGTGCCCCCCCAGGCTCCTCGGCCTACCCCGACTTCACCAACCCCGAGACGCGCGACTGGTGGGCGTCCATGTTCGCCTTCGACCAGTACGAGGTCAGGACCCCCCCCAAAACCCACAGCACCCCAAATCCATGTCAGCCCCCCCATGTCACTGCCAGCCCCCCCAGATCGCCCTTATCCCCCCCCAAATCTCTGTGACCCCCCAAATTACTCCCACATCCCCCATCACCTTTTCCTCCCCCCATCCTCACCTTCCCTAATTCTTCGTGTTCCCCCCAGTTCCTCTCTCCCCAAATTGCTCCTGGTGACCCCCCCTCACCCTGGGACCCCTTGGGACCCCCCTCACCCCATGGACCCCTTGGACTTTGGGGATTCCCCAATCCCTCCCCATCCCTTTGCTCCTCAGACCCCTCCTCTCGTGGGGGTGTTTTCCTCTCCCCCCTCGCCCCCCCCCGGCCTTTGAGGGAACCCCCCAGGGTTTTGGGACCTCGCCGGGCTTTGGGGGACCCCCCTGGCCTTTTGGGGGGACCCCCTGCCCTGACTTTTGGGGCCCCCCCAGGGCTCCACGGGGTCGCTGTTCACGTGGAACGACATGAACGAGCCGTCGGTGTTCAGCGGCCCCGAGGTGACGATGCACAAGGACGCCGTGCACTACGGGGGGTGGGAGCACCGGGACGTCCACAACATCTACGGGCTCTACGTGGTGAGGACCCCCAAATCCCCACCCCCAGAACCCCCAGGAACCCCCCAGAGACCCCCAAACCCCAGCTCCCTCAGGGATCTGCCAAATCCCCCACAAACCCCCCAGTCCCCTGTGTGCTCTGGGGGTGGGAGCACCAGGACATCCCCAACATCTACGGGTTCTACGTGGTGAGGACCCCAAATCCCCACCCCCAAAACCCCAGGAACCCCCCAAAACCCCAGCTCTCAGGGATCCACCAAACCCCCATAAACCCCACAATATCCATGTGCTCGGGGTGGGAGCACCAGACATCCCCAACCTCCACGGGCTCTGCCTGGTGTGACACCCCCTCCCCCAAATCCTGAGTCCCCCAAAACCCCCTGGGATTCCCTGAGACCCTCATTGCCCCCCTCCCCACCCCCTCGTGGACCCCAAACCTTTCAGGGACCCCAAAAGCCCCTCAAATCCTTCAGGGATGTCCTGACCTCCTCGTTCCCCCCAGATCCCTGAGACATCCCCCAAATCCTCGAGACATGCTCCTAAACCTCTGAGACCCCTCAAACCCCCGAGACATCCCCCAAATCCTTGAGACATGCTCCCAAACCTCTGAGACCCCCTAAACCCCCTTTGCCCCCCTGACCCCCTGCCCCCGTTCCCAGCACATGGCCACGGCCGAGGGGCAGATCCGTCGCTCCGGGGGGCGGCTCCGGCCCTTCGTGCTCAGCAGGGCCTTCTTCGCTGGATCCCAGAGATACGGTGGGAATGGGGGACCCCCGGGAATGGGGGGGCACGGGGGACACCTGGGACCTTTTCTGAGCCCCCCGGGAATGGGGGGGGATCCCCAGGGCTGGAGGGGACTGGGGAAGATCCCTGGGAATGGGAGGGGGGCCTGGGAATGGGGGAACACCCCTGACCCTCCCTGTGACCCCCTGGGAATGGGGAACACCCCTGACCCCTTGGGAATGGGGGACCCTCCTGACCCTCCCCGTGACCCCCTGGGAATGGGGGACCCCCCTGACCCTCCCTGTGACCCCCTGGGAATGGGGGAACACCCCTGACCCTCCCTGTGACCCCCTGGGAATGGGGGACCCCCCTGACCCTCCCTGTGACCCCCTGGGAATGGGGGGACCCTCCTGACCCCCCGTTCCCCCCCCAGGAGCCGTTTGGACCGGGGACAACACGGCGGATTGGGAGCACCTGAAGATTTCCATCCCCATGTGCCTGAGCTTCGGGCTGGCAGGGCTGGCCTTCTGTGGGGGTGAGACTGGGAACACTGGGAACACTGGGAGCACTGGGAACGGGAGCACTGGGAACACTGGGAATGGGAGCACTGGGAACGGGAGCACTGGGAACACTGGGAATGGGAGCACTGGGAGCACTGGGAACGGGAGCACTGGGAATGGGAGCACTGGGAACACGGGGAACACCGGGAATAGGAGCACTGGGAGCACTGGGAATGGTAGCACTGGGAACACGGGGAACACCGGGAATGGGAGCACTGGGAACACTGGGAATGGTCTTCTGTGGGGGTGAGACTGGGAGCACTGGGAGCACTGGGAATGGGAGCACTGGGATCTCCATCCCCTCGTGCCTGAACTTTGGGATGGGGTCGCTTGGAACTGGAAACAGGGTCAGGAAAGGGCTGTGGGATTGGGAATGGGATGAACATTAAGAGTGGAGTCGGGAATGGGATGTGGGTTGGGAGTGGAGCAGAGACTGGGAATACTGGAATGCAGATTGGGGTGAGATCAGGAATAGGGATGGGAATGGGGAGCAGGGTTGGGGTGAGGGATGGGATTGGGGTCAGGATCGGGAACGGGATCTCTGTGGGAAGCGGGTTTGGGGGTGGGAATGCAAATTGGACGTGGGATTGGGAACGGGATCGAGGTTGTGATTGGGGATGAAAACGAAATTGGGATTAGGGATGGGTTTGGGGTCAGGGATGGGGAAGGGACTGGGGTTGTGAAGGGGAACAGGAACAGACACTGGGATTGGGATCGAGGTGGGGAGTGGGGGTGGGATCGGGAATTAGGATGGGGAAAGGGTTTGGGAACAGGGTCCTGGGTGGGCTCAGGGACGTTCCCGGGGATGTTCCCATGGATATTCCCGTGGATATTCCCGCGGACATTCCCGGGGCCGCCCTCACCCTGCGCCTCCTTTGCCCCCTCAGCCGACGTGGGGGGGTTCTTCCAGAACCCGGGTGCGGAGCTGCAGGTGCGCTGGTACCAGGCCGGGGCGTTCCAGCCCTTCTTCCGCGCCCACGCCCACCTGGACACGGCGCGCGGGAGCCGTGGCTGCTGCGCCCCGAGCACCTGCAGCTCGTGCGGGCGGCCCTGCGGCGCCGCTACGCCCTCCTGCCCCTCTGGTACTCGGCCTTCTACCGCTGCCACCGCTCCGGGATGCCCGTCATGAGGTCAGGGACCCCAGAAACCCCAAAACCCACCCCAGAAACCCCCAAAACCACCCCAGAAACCCACCCAAACCCCTCCTGCCCCTCTGGTACTCGGCCTTCTACCGCTGCCACCGCTCCGGGATGCCCGTCATGAGGTCAGGGACCCCCAAAACCACCCCAGAAACCCCCAGAACCACCCCAGAACCACCCCAGAAACCCACCCAAACCCCCTCCTGCCCCTCTGGTACTCGGCCTTCTACCGCTGCCACCGCTCCGGGATGCCCGTCATGAGGTCAGGGACCCCCAGAAACCCCCAAAAACCACCCCAGAAACCCCAAAACCACCCCAGAAACCCACCCAAACCCCCCGGGATAACCCCAAAGCCCCTCCTGCCCCTCTGGTACTTGGCCTTCTACCGCTGCCACCGCTCCGGCACGCCCATCATGAGGTCAGGGACCCCCAAAACCACCCCAGAAACCCCAAAAACCCCCCAGGACACCTCCAAACCCCCCTGACCCTACAAGGAGCCCTCTCACCCCCCCCTTGTCCCCACAGGCCCCTCTGGGTGGAGTTCCCCGAGGACCCCCACACCTTTGCCATGGATGACCAGTACATGATCGGTGAGGGGGGGGCCCTGTAGCCCTCGGGGTCCCCAACCCCTTTGGGGGTCCCTTTGGAGTCCCCCAGTTCTGACCCCCCTTTTTCGCCCCCAGACCGGGTGCTGCTCGTGCACCCCGTGATGGAACAGGGGGCTCGGGGGGTCCAGGTGTACCTGCCTGGGGAGGGAGAGGTGAGTAGGGGGGCTCTGGGGAGGGTCTGGGGGGTTGAGGGTGCAGGACCCCCTGACCCCCATGTGCCCCCAACCCCCAGGTTTGGTACAACGACGAGACCCACGAGCAGCACCGGCGCCCCAGACCCTCTACGTGCCCGTGACCCTGAGCACTGTGGGTGACTGGGGGGCTCTGGGGGCTTTGAGGGCCATGAGGGAGCTTAGGGGTGGGGCTGGGACCCCCAGACCCTCCCGGGACCCCCAAACCCTCCCGGGACCCCCACACCCTCCTGACCCCCAACCCCCAGGAGCTGCTGTTCCCGCAGGGAGGGTCGAGGCGCCCCGTGTCATGGGAGGGGGTCTGGGGGATTCTGGGGGCTGCAGAGGTTTTGGGGTGCTGGGACGGCCCCCAAGCCCCCCGTGCCCCCCAGATCCCGGTGTTCCAGAGGGGGACGGTGATCCCGCGCCAGGACCGGCCCCGCCGCTCCAGCGAGGCCATGAAGAGGACCCCTTCACCCTCTACGTGGCCCTGAGCCCCTAGGTGAGCGGGGACCCCCAAAACACCCCCCGGGACCCTCAGACCCCCAGGGACCCCCCAAACCCCTCTTTGCCCCCCCAGGGCACGGCTGAGGGGGATTTGTTCCTGGACGACGGCGAGAGCTTCGACTTCGCCACCCAGGGCCGGTTCCTGCACCGCAGGTTCAGCTTTGCCAACGGCACCCTCACGGCCAGGTACCCCGGGGAGCCCCAGAAACCCCCTTGGGACCCCTAGAAACCCCCCTGGGACCCCTAAAAACCTACCTGGGACCCCCAGAAACATCCCTGGGACCCCCTGAAACCCCCTGGGACCCCCAAAAATCTTCCTGGGACCCCCAGAAACCTCCTTGGGACCCCTAAAATCCTACCTGAGACCCCCAGAAACCCCCGGGGACCCCCAGAAACCCCTCTGGGACCCCCAGAAATGTCTTTGAGACACCCAGAAACCTCCCTGGGACCCCCAGAAACCCCCGGGAACCCCCTGAAACCCCTGGGACCCCTAAAAACCTATCTGGGACCCCCAGAAACCCCCTGAGACCCCAGAAACCCCTGGGACCCCCAGAAAGCCCCCTGGAACCCCTTAAAACCTCCCTGGGACCCCCAACCCCTGGGGGTGGGGGTGACCTGCAGCCCCGAGCCCCGTGGGTGCCGTGGGGGTATTGGGTGGCCTGGGGGTTGGGGGTCTGAGGGGTGCCCCTGAGCCCCCTGACCCCCTGTGCCCCCAGCTCGGCAGACCCGCGGGGTCCCTGCCCAGCCCCTCGTGGCTGGAACGTGTGGTGGTCCTGGGGTCCCCACCCGGCCCAGCTCCGTCCTGCTGCGGCCCTCGGTGAGTGGGGGCTCTTGGGGGCTCTGGGGGGTCTGGGGCCTGCAGGGACCTGAGGGATCCCCCTCCCATTGCCCCTGAGCAGTGGGGAGGGAGGGGAGAGGATTTTGGGGGCTCTCGGGGCTTCAGGGGTTTGAAAGGGTCTCATCTCCCCCACCCCGACCTTCCAGTGCCCCCCAGCTCTTGGTGTCCCCTGGTGGGGGTTGGATGATTTTGGGGGTTTTTGGGGGTCCTGACCCCCTGGCCCCCAGGAGCCCCCGAGCAGCCCCTGGACTTCCAGCACGACCCCGGGCGGGGGGTCCTGACCCTGCGGCGCCCGGGGTCCCGATCGGCGCCGACTGGAGCATCTCCCTGCGATAATGGACGGGGGGCCCCCGAGACTCCCTGGACCCCCTGACCCTCGGGACCCCCAACCCTCGGCTGCTGCAGGGGGTGGGGGTGGGAATTTGGGGGTCTGAGCCCCCTAATTGGGGGCTGGGGAAGAAAACTGTGACACCCCCTCCCCGGATGGGGGTGGGGTGAGGGCTGTGGACCCCCAGATTTGCCTGAGTTTTTGGGGGAGTTGGTGCCTCTGACCCTCCCTCTTTTCACCCCAAATTGGGGGGTCTGGGAGTGACTTTGACCCTCCCCTCAAATGGGGGTCTGGGGGAAAGTGCTGCCTCTGCCCCCCCTTTTTCACCCCAAATTTGGGTGGGAGGGGCCTCTGACCCCTCCAGCTTTGGGGGCTGGGGGTCGGTGCCTCTGACCCCCATCTCCCCAGTTCGGGGTTGGGTTGAGGGGGTTGGGGACCAAAACTCTGCGTTTACCCCCTCAGCCCCTCTTGTGCCCCCCTCACCCCGGACTCCTCTCCCACCCCGGGGGTCTCTGGGGTTTTGGGACCCCCTCCCTTCCCCTCTCTATGGGGCTCGCGGGGGGGTGGGGGCAGAGCCGGGACCCCCTGGCGGCGGAGCAGGGGGCTGTGGGGGCAGGGCGGCCCCGCGCGGAGTTTTGATAAAACAGAAATAAAACCGATGAAAAAAGCGGAATTTGGGGTTTCCCGGGGAACCTTGCTGGACCCCTGGAACCTTCGGCCGCGGGGCCGGGGGGACCTGGAGTGGGGGCGGGGGGACCGGAAGGGGCAGGGGCGCCGGAAGTGCTGCCCCGGCGGAGCCGCTGCGACCCGGCCCGGCCCTGCCCCCGGGACCCCCAAACCCCCGAAATCCACCCAAAAACCCGCCCGGGAACCCCGGGACGGCCCTGGGAGCCCCTGGAACCGCCCCCAGCGCGGCACCAGCGCCACGTCCGCACTGGGAGTGAACGGGGGGGCGGGGGCGAACTGGGGGGACTGAGGGGGAACTGGGGGACTGGGAGTGAACTGGGGAATGAGGGGGAAACTGGGAGTGAACTGGGAGCGCTGGGGGACTGGGATTGAATTGGGGAATATTGAGGGGACCGGGCGGCACTGGGAGAGGAACTGAGGGGGAACTGGGAGTGAACTGGGGGCGCTGCGGGGGACTGGAGGGGTAGAACTGGGAGCACTGGAAGGGAGGACTGGGGGAACTGGGAGCGCTGGGAAGGGGTGGAGAGAGCCCGGGGTGGGGGCAGGGTGGGATGTGAGAGCTGGGACCCCCTGGGACCCCCGGGCCCCCAAATCACCCCTGAGAGACCCCCAAATCACCCCCTGAGACCCCCGGGACCCTCAGGACACCCCGACCCCCCAGCACCCGCCGGAGCCCCCCGGGACCCCCTGACCTCTCAGGACCCCCGGAGCTTTCTGAGCCTCCCGTGAGCCCCCTGGGACCCCCGGCCCCCGCGATGCGGCTGCGCCTCAAGAACGTTTTCCTCGTGTATTTCGTGGTGTCCCTGGGGGCTCTTCTGTACCCTCCGGGAGCTGGGTGAGGGGCTGGGGGCTCTGGGAGCTTTGGGGGCTCTGACCCCCGGGGCTGTTCTGTGCCCCGGGTGAGGGGCTGGGGGATTTGGGGGGGATTTGGGGTCCTGGTCTGTTCTGTGCCCTCAGAGAGATCGGGGAGGGGGCTCTGGGGGCTTTGGGGAGTTTGGGGGGTTTGGGGGCTTTCAGGGGGCTCTTCCCCGGGGCAGTTTTGGGGTCCTGGACCCCCTGACCCCCTCGCCCCCCAGGCCGGCCCTGTCCCTGCCCCTCCCCCGAGCCCGAGCGGCGCCGGGGCCGTGCTTTGGGGGCCCTGGGGGCTCCCGGGCCGGGACGGGGAGGGGACCCTGCCCTGCCCCCATCTACGTGGTGACCCCCACCTATGCCAGGTGAGAGCCCCCGACCCCCATCATTCCCCCTGGCCCCCATCATCCCCCTGACCCCTCTGACCCCCTGACCCCCATGCCCCCTGACCCCCATGTCCCCCCAGGCCGGTGCAGAAGGCAGAACTCGTTCGCCTCTCCCAGACGCTGCTCCACGTGATCCCCTGACCCCTCTGTGCCCCCTGACCCCCATCATCCCCTGACCCCCTGAGCCCACCCGACCCCTGTGCCCCCTGACCCCCATTTCCCCCAGGCCGGTGCAGAAGGCAGAACTCGTTCGCCTCTCCCAGACCCTGCTCCACGTGCCCGCCCTGCACTGGGTGGTGGTCGAGGACGCCGCGGAGCCCTCTGCGCTGGTCGGGGGGGTCCTGGCGGCCTCGGGGGTCTCGTTCACGCACCTGAGCGCCGAGACCCCCCCCGAGCTGCGGGGGCCTGGGACCCCTGGCTGTTCCCGCGGGGGGCGGAGCAGCGGAACCGGGCCCTGCGCTGGCTGCGGGACACGCGGGGCCCCCTCGAGCCGGGGGTCGTGTACTTCGCTGACGACGACAACACCTACAGCCTGCGGCTCTTCGAGGAGGTGGGACCCCCTGAGACCCCCTGAGACCCCCTGAAACCCCCTGAGCCCCTCCGAAACCCCTGAGCCCCCCTGAAACCCCTGACCCACCTAAACCCCCCCAAACTCTCCTCAACACCTACAGCCTCAGGCTCTTCGAGGAGGTGGGACCCTGAGACCCTCCAGAGACCCCTGAGACCCCTGAGACCCCCTGAAACCCCTGAGCCACCCCCTGAAACCCTGAGCCACCCCTGAAACCCCTGAGCCACCTAAACCCCCCCAAACTCCTCCTCAACACCTACAGCCTGCGGCTCTTCGAGGAGGTGGGACCCCGAGACCCCCTGAGACCCCCTGAGACCCCCTGAAACCCCTGAGCCCCCTGAAACCCCTGAGTCCCAGCAACCCCCCCAAACTCCTCCTCAACACCTACAGCCTGCGGCTCTTGAGGAGGTGGGACCCTTGAGCCACCCCTGAGACCCCCCTGAAACCCCTGAGCCCCCCTGAAACCCCTGACCCACCTAAACCCCCCCAAACTCCTCCTCAACACCTACAGCCTGCGGCTCTTCGAGGAGGTGGGACCCCTGAACCCCCCCAAAACCCTGAGACCCCCAACTCACCTGAGCCCCTTGATGCCCCCCAACCTCTCTGATCCCCTCTCTGTGGCTCCCCCAGATGACCCCCGGGGGTCTCGGTGTGACCTGGGGGTCCTAAACACCCCCTGACCCCCAAACCCCCCATTTCCCCCAGATGCGCAGCACGCAGGGGTGTCGGTGAGGGTCCCAAACACCCTGACCCCCAAACCCCCCATTTCCCCCAGATGCAGCACTGGGGGTGTCAGTGAGGGGTCCCAAACACCCTGACTCCCCAAACCCCCTCTTCCCCCAGATGCGCAGCACTGGGGGTGTCGATGTGGCAGGGGTCCCAAACACTCCCTGACCCCCAAACCCCCATTTCCCCCAGATGCGCAGCACGCGGGGTGTCGGTGTGGCCGGTGGGGCTGGTGGGGGGGCTGCGGCTGGAGCGGCCCCTCGTGTCCGGGGGTCGCGTCGTGGGGTTCCACGTGGGCTGGAGGCCGGACCGGCCCTTCCCCTGGACATGGCGGCGTTCGCGGTGCGGCTGCGGCTCCTCCTGGCCCGGCCCCGCGCCCGCTTCGACCCCCGCGCCCCCCGCGGCTTCCTGGAGAGCAGCTTCCTGGGGGCGCTCACGACCCCCGCCCAGCTCGAGCCGCGGGCAGACAACTGCACGCAGGTGGGGGCTCGGGGTCCGGGGGCTTCTGGGGTCCTGGGGGGCTTTGGGGGTCCTGGGGGCTTCGGAGTCCGGGGGGCTTTGGGGGTCCGGGGGGCTTCGGGGTCCGGGGGCTTTGGGGGCCTGGGGGCTTTGGGGGTGTTGGGGTGGGCGGGGGTGGATTTCGGGGGTTGGGGAGCTCCTGACCCCCCCTCAGCCAGAGCCCCGGGCTGAGAACTGCACCCAGGTTGGGGGGGCCCTAGAGAGGGCTGGGGGTCCGGGGGGCCATGGGGTCCCTCGGAGGAGGTCCCTGAGGGCTTTGGCACACAGGGGGGGTCCCCCAGCGATCTCCTCCCGGTGTTTTGGGGTCCCCCCAGGTGCTGGTCTGGCACACGAGGACGGAGAAGCCGAAGCTGAACCAGGAGGAGCAACTTCAGCGCCAGGGCCGGGGCTCAGACCCCAACATCGAGGTGTAGGGACCCCCAAAATGCAGGGGGGGGGCCCAAAACCTCCACACCGAGGTGTAGGGACCCCCAAAACCCCACACCGAGATGTAGGGACCCCCAAAACGCAGGGGGGGCCTCAAAACCCCCACATCAAGGTGTAGGGACCCCCAAAACCTCCACACCGAGGTGTAGGGACCCCCAAAATGCAGGGGGGGCCCCAAAACCTCCACACTGAGGTGTAGGGGGACCCCCTTCAAATTCAGGGACCACCCCCAGCCCCTATTTATGACCAGGAACCCCCCAGTTTTTTGGGGGCCCCCCCTTTGTGTCTCCCCAATAAACTGTCCCTGTCCAGCCTCGCCTCGGGGGGTTTCTTGGGGTGGGGCCCGAGTTTGGGGGGACCCCCAGATTTGGGGGTTGGGGGGGTGGGTGCCACAGGGGGCTCTGTGCCCTCCCCTTCCACTTTTGGGGGGCTGTGGGGGGGTAGAAGTTCCCCCGAAATGTTCCACTTTTGGGGGTGAGGGGGGTGGGGCAGCCCCTGGACCCCCCTTGGCTCCCTCCCTGGCCCCCAAAATCCCCCTCCAGGCCCCGTCCCATTTTAGGGGTCCCCGAAGCCCAAGGGGGCCCCCCCAGAAGCTCCAGGGCAATTGGGGGTGGGGGGGGCTCCCCTTGCTGGGTTTGGGGCCCCCCCCGGGGTCTGGGACTGAGCCCCCCCAAGAGACCCTCAGGGGGCACTGGGGACCCCCTGGGACCCCGATTTTGGGGGTCCCCCCGTGTTTGGGGGGGGGCAGTGGGGCCCCCCCAGCTGTCCCGGGGGGGCTCTGTGGTCCCCCAGGACCCCGATTTTTGGGGTGCCCTGGGGGGGGGGCAGTGGGGAACCCCCTCCCATCTGGGGGGAACCGTGGGGACCCCCGGGCCTCGGAATTTGGGGGTCGGGGGCTATTTCGGGGGCTGCGGGGACCCCGTGAGCGCGGATTTGGGGGTCCTGCGGGGTGCCCTGTGTGGGGCTGCCCTGGCCCCCGGCAGTTTTTGGGGGCCCCTGGCCGGCCCCTGCCGGGGGAAGTGACTCGGCTGCGCTTCCTGGGGCGGCCCTGAGGCCGCGGGACGGGCGTGGGACCGGCCGGCCATGGAGCCTCTCGGAGCCCCCGAGCGCGGTGAGACCCCCGGGGGCGGGGACACCCTGGCCCGGCCTCCTGGGGCACTCCCGCGACCCCCTGACGGGGCGGCCGCGAACCCCGAAATGGGGCGGGGGGCGCGGGAGGGACACGTGGGGAGCGGGGGGGAGAGGGGGTCTGAGGGGGGCACGGAGGTCCCGGGGGACACGGGGGTCCCCGGACGGCCGCGACCCTGAGGGGGGGTGACCTGGGGGTCCCGAGTTTTGGGAGTGGAACGGGGGTCCTGGGTGACACCGGGGATGACACGGGGGGCGCCGGGGATGACAAGGGGGTCCCTGAGTGGGGGGCACGGGGGGTCCCAGTGAAGTGCCGGGGGTGACAGGAGGGTCCCCGAGTGCTGGGGGCGACCCCGGGGGTCCCAAAATACCGGGAGGGGAGGGGTGTTACACGGGGGTCCCCAGAGCTGTGGGTGAAGCCTGGGGTCCCCTGGCCCCCTGTGTCCCCAGACAGCCCTGTGTCACCCCGACCCCCAGGTGAGCCGGGCCCCCGGGGAGGCGGGGACCCCCTGGAGCGGCGGCTGCGGCGCCTGGAGCGGGAGCTGGAGCTCGTCAAGGCGGCGCTGGGGAGACCCTGCGGAGGTTGGGGGCTGCGACCCCCGTGGGGCTCGGTGAGCCGGGGACATCCCCCACCCCCCCAGCCCTGGGCTCCTCCTTGGGGTCCCAATTTCCCCCTCCCTCTCTCGGGTGCTGAGGGGGGGTCTCGGGGTCCTGACCCTTCCTCCCCACCCCCCAGTTCCCAACGGGGCCGTCCCGGAGCCCCCGCCCCTCGCCCCCGGGCCGCCCCCGGAGCCCCCTGGACCAGCAGCGTGGGGACGCAGACGGAGGAGCCCCCGAGCCCGGAGCCCCCGGGGCCGGCGGGGACCCCGAGCCGCCCCCGGGTCCCCCTGTGCCCCCCGCGCCGGCGTCCCTGGAACCCGCGACCCCGACTCGCCCCTGCGCCCTCGGGCCGGCCCCGCGGGAACCCCGCAAGGAGCTGTGAGGAGGGGGGCACCGGGGGTCGATAGGGGGCGATGGGGGATTAGGAGGGTCTGGAGGAGCTGGGACTGGGAGGGGTCTGGGTCCATCTTAGGGGCCCCCAAATCACCCCCTGTGAGCAGTGGGGGCAGCGAGGAGGGGGCTGGAGGGGAGGTTATGGGGACTCTGGGGGCTGGGGGTGAGGGCGGTGTCGGGGTTTGGGGGATTTGGGGGCGGGGAGAGGTTGGGGCTGTCACCCCTTCACTGATGGTGTCCCCCATCTCCCCCCACACCCTCCCCTGTGCCCTCCCAAATTCCCCTGTACCTCTCCATCCCCAAATCCTACCCTGTGCCCCCTCAAACCCTCCCCCGTGCCCCCCAAACCCTGAAACCCCCTGTGCCCCCCAGCCTGCGCCGCCACAGCTCCTCCGGGCCCCCAGCCCCCGGCAGCGCCTGAGCCGCAAGCGGCCTCGTCAGCAAACCTGTTACAGGGGAGCCCCGAGAGGTGGGACCCCCAAAACCCCCAAAGACCCCCCCAAAACCCCCAAACTTCTTACAGGGGAGCCCCTGAGAGGTGGGACCCCAAAACCCCCAAAGACCCCCCAAAACCCCCAAACCTGTTACAGGGGAGCCCCGAGAGGTGGGACCCCAAAACCACCCCAAAACCGCCCCAAACCCCCCAAACCTGTTACAGGGGAGCCCCGAGAGGTGGGACCCCCAAACCACCCCAAAACCCCCCAAAACCCCCAAACCTGTTACAGGGGAGCCCCCGAGAGGTGGGACCCCAAAACCTCCCCAGCTCCCCCTCGCACCCCACCCCTGTCCTTGCCCCCCCATCCCTTCTGCCCCAAGAAATGGGGACCCCTTCTGCACCCCAACCCCCATATCCTCCCAACCCCACCCAGAACCCCAAAATCCTCCTCAGCACTCCCAAATCCCCCCAACCCTCTGACTCCTCTCCCGCAGCCGCCGAAGGAGCCGACCCTGAGCCCAGGTGGGGGTCGGGTTTGGGGGTTTTGGGGGCATTTTGGGGTCATGTTGGGGTTCAGGGTTTTTTTTTGGGGGGGGCATTCAGGATGTTGATTTGGGGGGCTGTTTTGGGGTGCAGGGAGGTGTTTTTCAGGGCAAGGGGGCTTTTGGGGAGTCCTTTGGGGGTTCAGGTGTTCGCTCTGGGGGCTCAGGGCGGGTTGGTTTTGGGGTCTCAGGGGGTCATTTTGGGGTTCAGGTGTTCGTTCTGGGGCTCAGGGGCGGGTTGGTTTTGGGGTCTCAGGGGGTCATTTTGGGGGTTCAGGTGTTCATGGGGGTTGGTTTTGGGGTCTCAGGGGGTCATTTTGGGGTCCCTTTTCATTTTTGGGGGTGCAGAGAGGGGTTATTTTTGGGGAGGGGGTGTTTTGGGGTATTTTTGGGGTCCAGCTGTTTATTCTGAGGGTGCAGAGAGGGGTTATTTTTGGGGGGGGGGGGGTTGAGGGGTATTTTCGGGGGGTCCAGCCGTTCCTTTCAGGGGTGTCACACCCTCCCCTCCCTCCCCCCCAGGGTCTCGCCGTGGGAACTACAACCTGGGTGAGGCTCGGGGGGGCCCGGCCGGCCCGGGGGGGTGCTGGGGTTTTGGGGTGACCCCCGGGCCCCCCCACAGAGGGGGTGTCGGTGAAGATGTTCCTGCGGGGCCGCCCCATCACCATGTACGTGCCCTCGGGGCTGGGCCCCGTCGGGGGGCTCCGGGCAGAGCTGCCCCCCGAGCGCCTGCAGCTCGACTGGGTGTATCCTCAGCTGGGGGGGCAAAAACGGGGGGGGGACACAGAACCTGGGGGTCCCAAAACCGGGGAGGGCCCCAAAACCTGGGGGTCCCAACCCCCGGGAGGGCCCCAAAACCTGGGGGGTCCCAGAGACCCTGGGAGGGCCCCAAAACCTGGGGGGTCCCAGAAACCCTGGGAGGGCCCAGCCCTGTCCCCATCCCCAGCCCTCTCTGGGGGTCCCAGCCCTACATGTGTCCCCCTCCCCCTTCCCAAAATCTGGGGTTTCCCTTCCCTCCCTTTGGGTCCCCATCTCTTTCCTGGGTCCCCTTTTAGGGATCCCTGGCCCTCCTTGGGAGTCCCCAGCCCTGTTTTGGGGTTTTCAGCCCTCCCTGGGGGTTCCCAGCCCTGTCCCCAGCCCTTTTTGGGGTCCTCAGCCCTCCCTGGGGGTTCCCAGCCCTGTCCCCAGCCCTTTTTGGGGTCCTCAGCCCTGTCCCCAGCCCTTTTTGGGAGTCCCCAGCCCTCTCTGGGGTCCTGCCTTGGGGGTCCCCATCCCTTCCCGCCCACCCCAGCCCCCGTTCCTCTCCCCACCCCGATGCTCCCAGTGCCCCCCAGTGCTCCCAGTGCCCCCAGTTGGCCTTGACGGCGCAGTTACGGGTACCGGGGCCGGGACTCGCGCTCCAACCTGCACGTGCTGGGCTCGGGGGAGCTCGTTTACTTCATCGCCTGCGTGGTGGTGCTGCTGCAGCTGCCGGCCCGGAGGCAGCGGCACTACCTGAGGCACAGCGACTGTGTGCGATGGTGAGACCCCCGGGAGACCCCCTGAGAGACCCCCTGAACCCCTCTGAACCCCCTGAGAGACCCCCTGAGCCCCCAAACATCCCCTACCTGAGGCACAGCGACTGTGTGCGATGGTGAGACCCCCGAGAGACCCCCTGAGAGACCCCTGAACCCCCTGAGAGACCCCCTGAACACCCTGAGAGACCCCCTGAACACCCCTGAGCCCCCTGAACCCCCTGAGAGACCCCCTGAGCCCCCTGAACCCCCTGAGAGACCCCTGAACCCCCCTGACCCCCAAACATCCCCTACCTGAGGCACAGCGACTGTGTCAGACGGTGAAAACCCCTGAAAATGAGGGGTACCCCCCTCAGAGACCCCCCTGTCCCCCCAGCCTGGCCGTCCATCCCGACCGTCTCCGCGTGGCCACGGGACAGGCGGCCGGAGTCGACAAGGACGGGAAGGTGGGAACCCCCTGGGACCCCCCCAGGACCCTTCTGGGACCCCCCCAGGGACAAGGACAGGGTGGGACCCCCTGGGAGCCTTGGGAATGGGATGGGGACAAGGACGGGGTGGGATGTGACCCCCTGGGACCCCCCCAGGAGCCCCCAGGGAATGGGAGGGTGACAGGGATGGGGTGGGATGTGACCCCCTGGGACCCCCCCAGGGAATGGGAGGGTGACAGGGATGGGGTGGGATGTGACCCCTAGGACCCCCAGGGCCCCCCCTGGGGACCAGCCCCGGCTGGGCCGGGTCCGTGTGTGTCCCCCCAGTGACGTGGGACCCCTGTGCCCCCCTGTGCCCCCCCGTGCCCCCCCAGCCCCTGCAGCCCATCGTGCACATCTGGGACTCGGCCACGCTCCTGACGCTGCAGCAGATCGGCCTCGGCACCTTCGAGCCGGGCGTGGGGTCCTCGCCTCTCCACGGCCGTGAGTGCCCCCCAGACCCCCAGCACTCCCTGGGACCCCCTGAGCCCACCCAGACTCCCCTCGCCCCTCCCCAGGACCAGGGCGCGTCTCCTGTGCGTGGTGGACGATTCCAACGAGCACATGATGTCGGTGTGGGACTGCGCCCGCGGCACCAAACAGGCCGAGGTCAAGGTGAGGGGACCCTAAACCCCCTGGGGTGGCCTCCTGACCCCCACCACGTGACCAGAGCTCCCCGCTGTCCCCCAGAGCACCAACGAGTCGGTGCTGACGGTGGAGTTCAACCCCCTGGACAGCAGCAGCATCATCACCAGCGGCAAATCCCACGTCTACTTCTGGACCTGGAGCGGGAACACCCTGACCAAGAAACAGGGCATTTTTGGGGTGGGTGGGGGGCCTTGTGGGGTGTGCAACAGGATTTTGGGGGGTGGAGATAATTTGGGGAGTCATTTTGGGGTTCAGGCGTTTCATTTTGGGATTTTTAAGGGGTTGTTTTGGGGTTCCAGGGGGTTTGTTTTGGGGGCTTAGATTTTTTGTGTTGGGGTTTTAAGGGGTTTATTTTGGGGGTTTAGGTTTTTTTTGTTGGGGTTTTAAGGGGGTGTTTGAGGGGTTCAGGGAATTGTTTTGGGGTTTCAGGAGATTGTTTTGGGGGTCTCAGGGGGATTGTTTTGGGGGTTCCAGGGGGGCATTCTGGGGTCTCAGGGGGATCATTTCGGAGCTCCAGGTGCCGAGCTCTCTGTCCCACCCACCCCCAGAAATACAAGAAGCCCAAGTTCATCCAGTGCTTCATCTTTGACGCCGCCGGTGATGTCCTGACGGGGGACTCTGAGGGGAACATCCTCACCTGGACCCGCACCCGGCCAAGGGGGCAAAGGTGGGGCTGGGGGCCGCAGGGGGCTCGGGGGCCGGGGGGGCAGCAGGGGCTCACCCTGGGCTGCAGAGTCCTACCAGATCGGGCAGCAGACGCGGGCACACGAGGGCAGCGTCTTCGCGCTGTGCCGGCGCCGCGACGGCTCCGTCCTGAGCGGAGGGGGGAAGGACCGGAGGGTGCTGAGCTGGAGCCCGACGCTCACCCTGCTGCACGAGGTCGAGGTGGGGACCTGCACCCCGAAACCCTGCCCTGGGGCCCCCAGATCCTCCCTTGGGACCCTAAAAACGCCCCTTGGAACCCCAAAATCCTCCCTTGGTGCCCCCAGAAGTGCCCCAGAACCCTCTCTCAGTGCCCCAAACCCCCCCCCTCAGTGCCCCAGAACCTCTCCCCCCTCGGTGCCCCAGAACCCCCTCGGTGCCCCAAATGCCCCTCCGGGGAGGTGTTGGGGTCCCCCCGGCTCGGAGGGGTCACCAGCAGGGGGTTTGGGGTCCCCCAGCTGCCCGAGCGCTTCGGGGCCGTGCGGACGATCGCCGAGGGGCCCGGGGACGAGCTGCTGGTTGGGACCACCCGCAACGCCCTCTTACAGGGCACGCTGAGCTCGGGCTTCACCCCCATCGTCCAGGTGGGCCTGGGGGAAGCGGGGAGGGGTTCTGGGTGTGGGAAGGGGGCTCTGACACCCCCCTCTGCCTCCCCCAGGGCCATACGGACGAGGTTTGGGGTCTGGCCACCCACCCCAGCTCCTGCCGCTTCCTCACCTGCGGCCACGACCGGCAGCTGTGCCTGTGGGACGGCAGCGAGCACGCGCTGGCCTGGAGCCTGGCCCTCGAGGTGGGACCCCCAGGGCGGGGCGGGGGGTCTCGAGGGAGGCCCTGGCTGAGGGGGTTTGGGGGGCCTGGGGGAGGGGGTCCCTGGTGGCCCCAGGGGTCTCGTTCCGCCCCCCCATCCCCAGCCTGACCCCCTGACCCCCAGGACACCGGGCTCTGCGCTGACTTCCACCCCGGGGGCAGGTGGTGGCCGTGGGGCTGCTCACGGGGCGGTGAGTGAGGGGGACACATGGGGGACACGGGGGATGGTGCCTCAGCCCTGTGGTCCCTATGTCCTCCTCCCCATCCCCATGTCCCCCATTCCCTGAGTGGCCCCATTCCCCCTCTGCACCCCCATGTCCCTGTGTCCCCCCATGTCCCCATTCCCCGAGTGCCCCCATTCCCCTCTGTCCCTGTGTCCCCCAGGTGGCTGGTTCTGGACACGGCGTCCCAGCAAACCCTGGCCGGGGCTCCGACGGGAACGAGCAGCTCTCGGTCGTTCGGTTCTCCCCCGGTGAGAGACCCCAGACCCACCCCTGCCTCCAACCCCCTCCCTGTCCCCACTGTTTGGGGTGTCCCTGTGTCTCCCCTCAACACCCCCATCCCCCTCCCCTGTCCCCAAACCCATCCCTGTCCCCACACTGGTGGGGGTCCTCAGCCCACCCTTCCACTTCCCCAGTTCCCCAGTTGTGGGGTCCCCGTGTTCTTCCTCCCTCTGGGGTCCCCTGCACTGTGGGGTCCTCCCCGTGCTCCCCCAACCCCCGTGTGTGCCCCACCCCAAGATGGGACCTTCCTGGCCATCGGTTCCCACGACAACTTCATCTACATCTACTCCGTGTCCGAGGGGGGCCGCAAGTACAGCCGCTTCGGGCGCTGCACGGTGAGACTGGGGGGTTTGGGGGTCCCGAGGGTCCCTGCGGCCCCCCGACCCCCTCCCTACCCCCTGCCCTCCCTGTGCCCCCCAGGGCCACTCCAGTTTCATCACCCACCTGGACTGGTCCAAGGACGGGCGGTTCATCATGTCCAACTCGGGGGACTACGAGATCCTCTACTGTGAGTTTGGGGGGCTGGGGGACACCCCCTTGTCCTCCTGGGACCCCTCTGACCCTGCTGGGACCCCCTGGGCTGGGGGGCACTGGGGAGGGGCTGCAGGACACCCCCTTGTCCTCCTGGGACCCCTCTGACCCTGCTGGGGACCCCCTGCCCCTCCCTGCCCTGGGATTTCGGGGGGTGGTCTCCTCGCCCCCCCCATGGATTTTGGGGGTTCTCACCGCCCCCCCCTGGATTTTGGGGGGTGTCACCGCCCCCAACACCCCCCAGGGGACGTTGCTGGGGGCTGTAAATTGCTCCGGAACCGCTTCGAGAGCCGGGACCGGGAATGGGCGTCCTACACGTGTGTGCTGGGATTCCACGTGTTCGGTGGGTCTGTGGGGCCGCAGGGGGGATGGGGGGCTGTGTGGGGGTCCCCCTGACCCCCCTCCCTCCTCCCATCCCCCCCAGGGGTGTGGCCCGACGGCTCCGACGGCACCGACATCAACTCCCTGTGCCGCTCCCACGGCGAGCGCGTCGTGGCCGTGGCCGACGATTTCTGCAAAGTGCACTTGTTCCAGTACCCCTGCGCCCGCCCCAAGGTGTGTGCGTGGGTGTGAGCACACGTGTGGACACGTATGTGTGTGTGTGTGTGAGCACACGTGTGCGTGTGAACATGTATGGATGTGCGTGAACACGTGTGTGTGTGAGCACACGTGTGCATGAACACGCGCCCAGCCGTGTCCCGCTCGCACAGGCCCCAGGCCACGTGTGGGAGTGTGAACACGTGTGATCATGTACGAACACGTATGAACACGTATGAACACGTATGTGACCCTCGTGTCCCCGCAGGCTCCCAGTCACGTGTACGGGGGCCACGGCAGCCACGTGACCAACGTGCGGTTCACCCACGACGACGGGCACCTCGTGTCCCTGGGGGGCAAGGACACCAGCGTGTTCCAGTGGCGGGTGCTGGGGGGCGACCCCGACCCGCGCTGAGCGACCCCCGCCCCCTCCTCCTCCTCCTCCTGCCCTTCCTCGCTGCTTCCTCTTCCCCTTCCCCTGCCCGGGACCAAAGGGGGGGCGTTTCCCCCCCCCCGATTTCGCTGCACTGTGAGAGGCACCAATAAAGCCTTTGGGGTCAGGGCCGGGCCCCGCCGCTTCCTCCGCCGCGGGAACTGGAGCCGGGACCGGGAACCGGGAACTGCGCCGGGAAACGGGAGCGGGAATGGGGAACGGGACCGAGAAGGGGAGTGGGAATGGGAACGGGGAACGGGACCGGGAATTGCGACGGGAGTGGGAATGGGAACTGGGAACGGGACCGGGAATTGCGACGGGAGCGGGGACCGGGAAAGGCGCCGGGAAGGGCCTCGGGCAGGGCCGTCACTTCCCGGAAGCACCGGCGCTTCCTCCCCCACCCCCGGAAAGAGCCGAGGGGTCGCGGAAAGAGCCGAGGCCGAGCCGAGCCTTCCCCGAAGCCGCTCCGAAACGCTGCCGAGGCCGCTCCGGAAGCGCCCGAGGCGGCGCCGAAGCCCCTCCGGAGGTGCCCGAGCGGTTCCGGAGGTGGCCGAGCCCGTCCCGGAGTCCTTCCGGAGTTACCCGAGCGCGTTCCGGAATCGCCCGAACTGTCTCCGGAGGTGCCCGAAGCGCTCCGGAGGTGCCCGAACCGGCCGTGCCGGCGCGGAGGCGGCGGGAGCGGCGATGAAGCGCGGCCGGGGCCGGGCCCGGGGGTAGCGCGGCCGAACGAGCGGCCATGGCGGCCAACATGTACCGCGTCGGGGGTGAGCGGGACGGGGGCCGGGGGGCCGGCAGGGGGCGGCAGGGCCGGGGGACCCTGAGGGAAAGGGGCTTAGGGGAGGGGGGCCCTGAGGGGAGTGGGGGGCTCTGTGAGGGGGCGAGGAGGAGGGGGCCCATGAGGGGTTATGGGGGTCCATGGGGGTATAAGGGGGTCCATGAGGGGATATGGGGGTCTCAGGAACGGGGGTCCTTGAGGGGATTAGGGGGTCCCAGTAAGGGCTGAGGGGCCGTGGGGAGAAGCCCGTGAGGGGATGTGGGGGTCTGTGAGGGGATATGGGGGGTCTGTGAGGGGGGGGTCCCAGAGAGGGAAAAAGAAGTCCGTGAGAAGGTTTAGAGGAGTCTAGGAGTGGATATGGGGGGTTTGTTGGGGGGGGATCCTGTGAGGGGGTGAGGGTCTGTGATGGGATGTGGAGGGGGGGTCCTGTAGGGGGACTGAGAGAGGGGGGGTCTGTTGTGGGGGTCCCGTGAGGGGATTCTGGGGATCTGTGGTGGGGGACACTGAGGGAAGTTTTAATTCCTGAGGTCCCAAAATGGGAGACACTTTCCCCTTTCTTCCTGTAAGGAGAAGGGGGGTCCATGAGGGGGACCCTCGACTTTTGCAGGGGGGTCCTGCCCTGCCCTGCCCCCCCATTTGTGAGGGGGGGGGGGCTGTGTCAGTGGGGGACCCCCGGTGTGTAACGGAGAGATGGGGGCGTCTGTGAGAAACCCCCCAAAATTTTGGGGGGAGGAGGAAGATGGGGTCAGAACAAAGGGGGTTGGGGTGGGGGGGTCTCCCCTCACGGCCCCCCCTCCCCCCAGACTACGTGTACTTCGAGAACTCCTCCAGCAACCCCTACCTGGTACGGCGCATCGAGGAGCTCAACAAGGTGAGACCCTCGTCCTTGATGGGGGGGGTCCCAGCTCTGGGGGGGCTCCCCCAGAGCCCCCCTCACCCACTGCTCCCCCCCCAGACGGCCAATGGGAACGTGGAGGCCAAGGTGGTTTGTCTGTTCCGGCGCCGGGACATCTCCAGCAGCCTCAACAGCCTGGCTGACAGCAACGCCCGTGAGTGGGGGGCTCAGGGGGCTTTGGGGTGGGGGGCACCCCCATCCCACCACAGTGCCCCCCAGATTGTGGGGGAACTGGTGTGTCCCTGCTGGCCTTGGGGTGATTTGCTCTTTTGAGGGTCACAGACGGATGCTGGTGGTTGGGGGGTTGCTGGGGGGGCTGTGGCTCCCCGTCCCCCCAGGATGCCCCCCAGTTCAGGAGGGGGGAGCTGGTGTGTTGTTTCTGCAGTCACTGGGGTGATCTGGGGAGGCTTTACCCATTTGGGGGTCACAGCTGCACCCTAAGGGGGTGGGGGGCAAGGATTGAACCCCAACTTGTCCTCCCACCAAAACTGGGGGTTCTGCCCTTGCTGGGGGTGCTGGGGGGTGCTGGGGGGCCCCACCCCCACCAACCTTCCCAACGCCCTCCCCTTCCCCTCCCTCCCCTCCCCCTCGCCCGGGGCCGCTGCCAGAGCCCCTGGGGGGCGCTGGGAGAACAATGGCCCTCCCAGCTGGATTTGAGGGGGACGATCCCCCGCTCTGACCCCCCCGATCCCCCCCAGGCGAGTTCGAGGAGGAGTCCAAGCAGCCCCCGATGTCGGAGCAGCAGCGGCACCAACTCAAGCACCGGGAGCTGTTCCTGTCCCGCCAGTTCGAGTCGCTCCCGGCCACCCACATCCGGTGAGGGGGGTCTGGGGGGGGTCCAGGGGGGCTCAGGGTGGGTCCCGTCTCAGGGGGGCTCGGGATGACCCCCACTTCTCTCCCCACAGGGGCAAGTGCAGCGTGACGCTGCTCAACGAGACCGACATCCTGGGGCAGTACCTGGAGAAGGAGGTGAGTCCCTGCACCCCCAGACAGGGATGGGGTGGGAATCAGGGGGTCCCCCACTCAGATGAACCCCCCCACACCCTGCTGAGCCCCCCCACTGTTCCCCTCCACCCCAGGATTGCTTCTTCTACTCGCTGGTGTTCGACCCCGTGCAGAAAACCCTCCTGGCCGACCAGGGCGAGATCCGGGTGGGCTGCAAGTACCAGGCCGAGATCCCCGAGCGCCTGGCCGAAGGTTTGGGGGGCTCTGGGAGGGCTCTGGGGGGTGCAGGACTGGGGGGTCACCCTGAGAGCCCCCCCCAACCCCTCCCAGGTGAGTCAGACAACAGGAACCAGCAGAAGATGGAGATGAAGGTGTGGGACCCCGACAACCCCCTGACGGACCGGCAGATCGACCAGTTCCTGGTGGTGGCTCGGTGAGGGGGGGTCTGGTGGGTGTGGGGGGACACAGGGGGGTCTGTGGGACATCCCTGACCTCCCAGTCCCCCCTCTAGAGCTGTGGGGACCTTCGCCCGTGCCCTGGACTGCAGCAGCTCCATCCGCCAGCCCAGCCTGCACATGAGCGCGGCCGCGGCCTCGCGGGACATCACCCTGGTGAGGGGGGGCCTCGAGCCCCCTGATGCCCCTGGGGCGCCCCGAGATCCCCTGGGAGCCCCCCCAGCTCCCTCAGCACACTCTGATGTCCCTCAAAGCGCCCCAGTTCCCTGGGACATCCTGAGGTCCCCTCAGAGACCCCCAGAGTTTTTGGGACACCTCAAGATGCTCTGGGACACCCAGAGATCCCCCTGGAGGAGCCTCGATGTCCCTCATACACTGCGAGATCCGCTCAGAGCCCCTGGTGGTCTTGGGACACTCCAGGTCCCTCTTGGAGCGCTCCATTACTGTCCACAACACTCAAATATCCCCTCAGAGCCCCCTGAGTTCCCCCTGGGACACCCCAAATCCCGCCTAGAGCCCCACAAGCCCCCCCATTTGAGGCCTGCCCCCAGTACATCCCATAGCTCCCTGTCCCACCCCACAGCCACGTAGGGGTTGTGAGACCCCAAACCTGCCCCAAACCCCCACTGGAGCCCCCCCGGTGCCCCCAGTGCATACCATTGCTCCCAGTTCCACGCCATGGACACGCTGGCACCGCTGGGGGGTTGTGAGGGACCCCCCCAAACCTGCCCCAAAGCCCCCAGTGGAGCCCCCCCGGTGCCCCCAGTACGTACCATTGCTCCCAGTTCCACGCCATGGACACGCTGCAGCGGAACGGGTACGACCTGGCGCGGGCCATGGCCACGCTGGTGCCGCAGGGGGGGCCGGTGCTGTGCCGGGACGAGATGGAGGAGTGGTCGGCGTCCGAGGCCATGCTGTTCGAGGAGGCCCTCGAGAAGTACGGCAAGGACTTCAACGACATCCGGCAGGACTTCGTGAGTGGGGGGGACGGGCTCGGGCTCGGGGGGGGTGTCCTGGGGGCGTCAGGGACCCCCCAGTCCCCCCTGCCAACCCCAGGGCTGTGTCCCCACAGCTGCCCTGGAAGTCGCTGGCCAGCATCGTCCAGTTCTACTACATGTGGAAAACCACCGACCGCTACATCCAGCAGGTACGGGGGCCTGGGAGGCTTAGGGGGCTGAGACGGGGATTGGGGAGCTGCTGGGGTTTGGGATCGTCTGGGGTCTGGGGAAGCTGCTGGGGTTTGGGGGCACTTGGTGGGGTCTGGGGAAGCTGCTGGGGGTTTGGGGGAGCTGTGAGGGTCTAAGGGGCTGATACAAAGACTTGAGAAGGCTGGGAGGTTTTAGGGGCAGTGGCAGCCTGGGGGCTTGATATGGGGGTTTAGGGGCTTGCAGGAGGTTTGAGGGAGCAGATGTGGGGTTTGGGGGGCTCCTGTGGACTTGAGGGGGCTTCTGGGGGGCCTGTGGTGGTTTGGGGGGCTGTGTGACCCCCAGCCCCGTGTGACCCCTCCCCCTGCTCACAGAAGAGGCTGAAGGCAGCGGAGGCCGACAGCAAACTGAAGCAAGTCTACATCCCCACCTAGTGAGTGGGGGGGCTTGGGGACCCCCTCCTGGGCCTAGGGGGGCACACAGGACCACCCCTGACCGCCCCCCCTTTTCTGCAGCACCAAACCCAACCCCAACCAGATCATCTCGGTGGGCTCCAAACCCGGCGTGAACGGGGCCGGGTTCCAGAAGGGGCTGAGCTGCGAGAGCTGCCACAGTCAGTGGGGGCTGGGGGGGCCTTGGGGGGACTGGGGGCTGTTGGGGGGATCCCAGGGGCTTGGGGGTATTGGGAGGGGGCTTGAGGAGGTCTTGGGGTTTGGGGGGGAACCAGGATGTGGGGGGATTCCTGGGATTTGGGAGGGGCCGCGGGGTTTTGGGATGGGTCCTCTGGGGGTCCCTGTGTTTGGGGGGTGTCCCTGACCCAATGTCTCCCCCCCACCCCAGCATCCCAGTCCCCCCAGTGGTACGCCTGGGGCCCCCCCAACATGCAGTGCCGGCTCTGTGCTTCCTGCTGGATCTACTGGAAGAAATACGGGGGGCTCAAGACGCCCACCCAGCTGGAGGGGGTGACCCGCAGCGCCTCGGTGAGCCCCCCAAACCCTCAGGACCCCCAATAGCCCCTAATCCCCTACTCTCTGGAGGAACCCCATTCCCAGCGTCCCCTGTCCTGCCCCGAGGCCCCGAGCCTTTCCCGTGCACAGCCATGGGATGGGCTGGGGGGGCTCTGGAGGGCGTTTTGGGGGTCCCAGCCCCCCCTGACATCCCCACCCCCATCCCAGGAGCCCCACTCGCGAGGTCACCTGTCCCGGCCCGAGGCCCAGAGCCTGTCCCCGTACACGACGAGCCGGGCGAAGCTGCTGGCCAAGAACCGCCAGACGTTCCTGCTGCAGACCACGCGCCTGACCCGCCTGTCCCGCCGCCTGTGCCGCGACGTCCTGCAGCCCCGGCGCGCCGCGCGGCGGCCCTACGCGCCCATCAACGCCAACGCCATCAAGGCTGAGTGTGAGGGGGGGATTGGGGGTACAGGGGGGAGTTTGGGACCCCCTACGCGCCCATCAATGCCAACGCCATCAAGGCTGAGTGTGAGGGGGGATTGGGGGGCACAGGGGGGGACAGGGACCCCCTACGCGCCCATCAACGCCAACGCCATCAAGGCCGAGTGTGAGGGGGGATTGGGGGGCACAGGGGGGACACAGGGATCCCCTACGCGCCCATCAACGCCAACGCCATCAAGGCCGAGTGTGAGGGGGAATTGGGGGGCACAGGGGGGGACAGGGACCCCCTACGCGCCCATCAACGCCATCAAGGCCGAGTGTGAGGGGGGGATTGGGGGGCACAGGGCAGACACAGGGGACACAGGGGGTACAGGGACCCCCTACGCGCCCATCAACGCCAATGCCATCAAGGCTGAGTGTGAGGGGGCACAGGGGTTATTGGGGGGAGTTTGGGACCCCCTACGCGCCTATCAACGCCAACGCCATCAAGGCCGAGTGTGAGGGGGCACTTGGGGCCTCTGGGGGATCACGGGGGGGGACCCTCCCCCGGGGGTAACGGGGTGTGAGGTGTGGCCCCCCTGAGCAGCCCCCCTGCCCCCCCAGGCTCCATCCGGCTGCCCAAGGCCGCCAAGGCCCCCCTGAAGATCCACCCCCTGACCCGCCTGCCCCTCGCCGCCATCGTCAAGGAGCTGGGTGAGGGGGGAGAAATCTGGAGGTCCTGCGTGACGGGGGGAAGGGTTGGGGAGGGGTCTCTGGGGCCTGGGGGGTCTCTAGGGGCTGTGTGGGGGATAGGGGTATTGGGCCTCAGATTTGGGGGTCGTGGGTGGGTGCCTGGGGGTGGGGAGGGGTTGGGGGATGCAGAATGGAGGGGGTGTGGGGTTCAGGGCGTGTGTGGGGTGGTTTGGGGGCTCTGTGGGGCCACAGGACCCCCTGACCTCTCCGTGCCCCCCAGCGGCCCAGGCCCCCTGAAGCCGAAGACGCCGCGAGGCACCAAGACCCCATCAACAGGAACCAGCTGAGCCAGAGCCGGGGGCTGGCGGGGCTGAGGGGCAAGAGGGGCTACGAGGCGGGGGGCGATGGCCACCGACCCCCCCGGATGAGGGTGAGGAGGGGTCGGGAGGTGATTGATGGGGAGTGGGAGGGGTCTGGGAGTGATTGACAGGGGTGGGAGGGGTCTGGGAGTGATTGAGATGAATGTGGGTGGAGTCTGAGAGTGATTGACATGGGTGGGTGGAGCCTGGGAGTGATTGACACATGTGTGGGTGGGTTTCTGAGAGTGATTGACAGGGGTGGGTGGAGCCTGGGAGTGATTGACATGAGTGTGGGTGGGGTCTGTGGGTGATTGACATAAATGTAGGTGGAGTCTGGGGTGATTGACATGAATGTGGGTGGAGTCTGGGTGATTGACATGAATGTGGGTGGAGTCTGGGGATGATTGACATAAATGTGGGTGGAGTCTGGGGGTGATTGACATAAATGTGGGTGGAGTCTGGGTGATTGACATTAACGTGGGTGGAGTCTGTGAGTGATTGACATGACTGTGGGTGGAGTCTGGGTAATTGACATGAATGTGGGTGGAGTCTGGAGGTGATTGACAGTGTAAAGGGGGTCAGGGTTGAGTGATGGGTGGGTGGGGCTGTGGGAACAGGGCTGTCCCTGATTGGTGTAGAAAGGGCTTGGGGGCGGGGCCTGGGCTGATTGACAGGAGTGGGGGTGGTGTCAGGAGTGATTGACAGCGTTGGGGGTGGGGTCTGATGGAAGGCGTGGTCTGTGGTGGGCGGGGCCATGGGCAGCACGCTCTGTGATTGGCCGGGGGGCGGGGCCAAGGCCGTGATTGACACCCCCAGGTGGGCTCTGCGGCGCTGCCCTTCTCGGCCAACGGGCGCCCCCTGGCGGCCGCGCTGCGCCCCCCGCCCCCGCCCGGCACCAAACGGCAGAAGCTGAACCCGGCGGACGCCCCGAATCCCGTGGTGTTCGTGGCCACCAAGGACACCCGGTGAGCCTGGGGGGGTCACGGGGCTCTGGGGGTCACGGGACAGCCCCGAACCCCGTGGTGTTCGTGGCCACCAAGGACACCCGGTGAGCCTGGGGGGGTCACGGGGCTCTGGGGGGGTCACGGGGACAGCCCCGAACCCCGTGGTGTTCGTGGCCACCAGGACACCCGGTGAGCCTGGGGGTCACGGGGCTCTGGGGGGGTCACGGGGACAGCCCCGAACCCCGTGGTGTTCGTGGCCACCAAGGACACCCGGTGAGCCTGGGGGGGTCACGGGGCTCTGGGGGGGTCACGGGGACAGCCCCGAACCCCGTGGTGTTCGTGGCCACCAAGGACTCCCGCTGAGGGGGCAAAGTGGGGTCAGCTGGGAGGGTCTGGAGGGGGCCAAGGGGTGGGAGGGACACAGAATTTGGGGGTTCCACAGGGTGTGGGGGCTCTGCGTTGTCCCGGCATGGTTCCTGGTGTCCCTGGGGGCTGTCTGGGGGTGTCAGGGGTCCCAGGGCTGTTGCTGACCCCCCCGTGTCCCCCAGGGCGCTGCGCAAGGCTCTCACTCACCTGGAGCTCCGTCGGGCCGCCCGACGCCCCAACCTGCCCCTCAAGGTGAAGCCGGGGCTGCCCCTGCGGCCGGGAGGGGGAGCCCTGGTGCCCCCGCCCCCCACCCCGCCAGCACCTCGGAGCCCATCGTGCTCGAGGACTGACTCCCCGGCCCCCTGAGCCCCCCAGCCCCGCCCCCTTTGTATTTTTTATTTCCATAGAAAAAGCTCGCGGAGGGGGTGGGGGCCAGGGCCGGTCCTGGGGCTGTTCTAGTGCCCCCTCCCCGCTGCCCCCCTGCCCCCAAATTCCCCCCGCGGGCCCCTTTTGTACGTGGAGCGACGCCCCCGGTTTTGTATCTCGGGCTGTCCCGGTTCTGTAGCGACAGGAAATAAACGCGATGAGTTTTTTCTTCAGTGCGGCCCCAAAACGGGAACCGAGGGGGGGGGGGTTTAGGGAAACGCGGGATACCGGGGGTCTCCGGGCGGAATGGTTGTGTCGGGCCGTGTTTCCGGGAGGGGAGCCGGGAGGGACGGACCATTCGCGGCGGAGCCCCCATGGGGGAACGCTTTGGGAACGGACCATTTCCGGCGGAAGTGGCGGCGGGAACGGGCGCGGGAACCGGGACCGCGATGGAACCGGACCCGGACCCTGATCCTGATCCCGACCCTGAGCTTAAACCCGAGCCCGACCCGGGCCCCCGGCCCGGCCCCGACATGGGCCCTGTGACGGGCTCAGGCCCCGGACCGGCCCCGGTAACGGACCCGGCAGCGGACCCGGCAACGGACCCCGACGTGCAGCCGCTGCCCCGGGGCGGCTTCCGCTGCCGCCTGTGCCAGATCACCGCGGCCAACCGTGAGTGAGGGGGCTCCGCGACCACCGGGACCGGGGGGCTCCCGCTTAACGGGACTGGGGGGCTGCGGGACCCCCGTTCCCGTGACCCCCCCTCGTTTCCCGGTGCCCCCCCCCAGGCCCGAGCCTCGCGTCCCACCTGTCCGGGAAGCGGCACCGGCGGCTCCGGTCGCTGCGGGCCGAGCGCCGGGAGCAGGAGCTGCGGAGCCTCTTCGTGAGCGGCTTCGCCCGCGGCACCGACCCCGCCGAGCTGCGGCGCCACTTCGGGAGCTTCGGGGGCGTCACCGGGGTCGTCATGGACAAGGACAAGGTGGGGGCACGGGGGGCACGGGATCCCCGGGAAGGAGACGGGGGGGATCCCTGTCTCGGGGGGTCCCGAGGGGTGTCGCTGCCCGAGGGGCTCCCGAGGTGTCCCGGGGGGTGTCCCAGCCCCAGGAGGTGTCCCGGGGGGTGTCGCAGCTCCAGGGGGGTCCCGGTGGGTGTCGCAGCCCCGGGGGGGTCCCAGGGGGTGTCCCAGCCCTGGAGTGACCCCTGTGCCCCCCCCCCAGGGCGCCTTTGCCATCGTGGAGCTGTCGGACCCCTCGGAGCGGCAGCGGGCCCTGGAGCACCCCCGGCACTGCCTGGGGGGGCGGCGGCTCAGGTCCCGGCCCAGGAGCACAAAACCTTCCCCGGCCCCCCGCGGGCCCGCGGCCCCGAGCCCCCAGGCCCGGGGGCTGCAGGAGGCGCTGGGCCAGGCCCCAGATGTGAGTGGGGGGGCACGGGGGAGGGTGGGGACCTCGGGAGGATCCCAAAGCTGTGCCGAGGGTTTAGGGGTGGGTTTGGGGCGGGCGGGCAGGGATCTCTGGAAAGTTTGGGGAGGGCTCCTCGGGCTCTCCCAGGGGCTTGGGGGTCCTGTGGATGATGTCCAGGTGTGCTGGGGGGACCCCCCAGTGCCCCCAGTAAGCCCAGTTGCGCAGGTGGAGGCCCAGCTGCAGCTCCTGGTGCAGCTCCTGGAGCTGAGCGAGGCCGAGCGGCGCCTGCGGAGCCTCCTCGTGTCGCTGTTCCAGGAGGTGTTCTCCGAGTTCTTCCCAGGTGGGGGCACGGGGGGGGTGGCAGGGGGGTGCTGTGTGAGTGACAGGCGTGGGACAGGCGTGTCCCAGGCATGTGGCATGTTCCAGCCGTGTCCCAGGCGTGTCCCAGCCGTGTCCCAGCCGTGTCCCAGCCGTGTCCCAGCCGTGTCCCAGGCGTGTCCTTTCCCCCCAGGCTGCTCCATCGTCCCCTTCGGCTCCTCCGTCAACGGCTTCGACGTCCACGGCTGCGACCTGGACCTGCACCTGGAGCTGCCGGGGGGCGAGGACCCCCCCTGGGACCCCCCCCAGGGACCCCAGACAGGGGACAGGGACTCCCAGGACCCAGACAGGGGACAGGGACCCCCCCAAGGGACCCCACACCGAGGGGCTCCCGACAGGGGAGAAGGAGCCCCCCAAGGACGCCCCCCCTGCCCCAACAGGGGACAGGGACCCCCCTGGAGACCCCCTGCTGGGGGATGGGGACCCCCCTCCCAGCCCCCCCACCAACGGGTCCCTTCTGGGGTCCGAGGGGTCCCTGTGGGGGTCCGAGGGGCCCCCCCCCGAGGGGTCCCTGCTGGGTGACGGGGACACCTCCTGCTCCGAGGGGTCCCTGTCTGAGGACGAGGGGTCCCTGCTGGGCCCTGGGGGGGGTCTCCAGGGGGCCCCCCCCGAGCGGGTGCTGGCCCTGGTGGGGTCGGTGCTGCGCCGCTGCGTCCCGGGGGTCCGGGGGGTCCGACCCGTCCCCGGCGCCCGCCGGCCCGTCGTGAAATTCAGCCACAAACAGTCGGGGCTGGAGGGGGACGTGTGTGTGCACAACCGGTGAGGGGCTGGGGGGCTCAGGGGGGCTCACGGGGGTGTCAGGGGCTCAGGGGTAGGGACATGTGTGTGCACAACGGTGAGGGCTGGGGGGCTCAGGGGCTCAGGGGCATGTGTGTGCACAACCGGTGAGCGGCTGGGGGCCTCAGGGAGCTCAGGGGCTCTGGGGGCTCAGGGGATGTGTGTGTGCACAACCGGTGAGGGGCTGGGGGATTTTGGGAGGCTGGGGAGGCCTGGGGGCCTCAGGGGGCTCAGGGATGTGTGTGCACAACCATTGAGGGGTGGCTCGGGGGGAAGGGGGGGGCTCAGGAGTCTCCTGTTCCCTTTTTCTCTTATTTGTCCTTTTCTTGTCCTTTTTCCCTCCTGTTTCCCTTTCCTTTTTCCCTTCTGTGTTCCCTCTTCCCCTTCTCTGTTCCCCTTCTTTTCTCTCCCTTTCTCCCTCCCTTTTTCCCCTTTTTTTTCCCTTTTCCCTTTCCCACTTATTCCTCTTCCCTGTTCTCCTTTCCTTTCCCGTTCACCCTATTTTTACCCTGTGTCTTTCCTCCCTTCTTTTCTCCCATTTTCCCCTATTTCCCCCCCATTTCCCCTCCCATTTCCCCCGTTTCCCCCTTTCCCCGTTTCCCCCCGATCTGTGTCCCCCCAGCCTGGCCCTGTTCAACACGCGCTTCCTGCGCTTCTGCGCCGACGCCGATCCCCGAGTGCGGCCCCTGGGCTACGGCGTGAGGGCCTGGGCGAGAGCCAAGGGGCTGGCAGGTGAGGGGACCCCGGGGGGCTGGGACCCTCCCCAGGGGGGCTGGGACCCCCCTGCCCACGCCCCGTTATCCCCCCGTGGGCTGCGCTCTGAGGGCCCGGCCGAGGGGAGGGGGGGCCTGGCGGGTGAGGGGGGGTCAGGATGGGGGTCCTGACCCCTCTTTCCCCCATTTCTGTCCCAGGGAACCCCTCGGGGGGGGGCCCCCTCCTCACCAACTACGCCCTGACGCTGCTCGTCGTGTTCTTCCTGCAGACCCGGAGCCCCCCCGTGCTGCCCTCGGGGCTGCAGCTGCGGGACCTGGCGGGTGAGACCCCCCCCTCAGCCCACCCAGGGCTCCCCCCGGGGTTTGGGGGTGTCCCCCCTGCCTGGAGCCCCCTCCTTACTCTGGGGTCCCTCCTCCTGGCGCAGGCCCTGAGGACCGAGCCGAGGTGGGGGGGTGGGATTGCAGCTTCCCCCGGGACCCCTCTGTGCTGGAGCCGAGCGGGAACACCCAGAGCACAGGTGAGAGACCCCCAGCGTGGGCTGGGGGGGGCCCAAAGCCGTACCAGAACGTGTCTGGGTGCTTTTGGGGGTGTCTGGGTGGTTTTTTGGGGCACGGTGGGTTTCAGGGTGGGTTTGGGGGCGGCTTTGGGGGTCCCAGGATGGTTTGACCTCCCCTTCCCTTTCCCTCCAAGGCCGAGTTCTCGTTTCTCAGGAGTGTTTTTAGGAGGGTCCCAGGGGATGTTCTGAGGGATGTTCTGGGGATGTTTGGGCGGTTTTGGGGTCCCAGGGCCATCTGACCCCCCTTTTTCCCCCCCTCCAGGCTCCCTCCTGGCCGAGTTCTTCTCATTTTTCGGGGGGCTGGAGCTGCCCCGGCTCCTGCTGTCGCCCCGCGAGGGCCGAGCGCTGCCCCGGCCCCCCCCCGGCGCCCTGGGGGGGCTGCGCCCGGGCCCCCTGACCCTGCAGGACCCCTTCGAGCTGAGCCACAACGTGGCCGCCAACGTCCCCGCCCGGGCCGTGTCGCGGTTCAGCCGCTGCTGCCGCGAGGCCGCCAAATTCTGCCGCGGCCCCGAGTTCCGCCACCGGTCCCGCCGCGGCCGCCCCTGGGGGGTCCTGGGGCTCCTCCAGCCCGGGGGGACCCCCGAGAGGGACGGGGGGGGCTTCACCATCCCCCTCCCGCTGCGGCCCCGCGGGGGCTCGGGGGGGCCCGGCGGGTTCCGGGAGGTCTGCGGGGCCGTGGGCTTCGTGCTCGGGGACGTCCTGGGGTGCAGCTGCGACCCCTTGGGGGGGGCCCGGGGGGAGCTGGGGGCACCTGAGGAGGGGGAGGAGCTGGAGGAACTGCCTCAGGATCTGTCAGACACGGAGGAGCCCCCGCCGGGAGCCAAAGGTCACCCCGGGGGGGTGACGGGACGTTCCCCAGGGGAATTTGGGGTCCCGGGGGACGCGGGGACAGCTGAGGAGGTGCCCCTGGATCCGTCGGGATCAGGGCCAGCAGCACCAGGATCCGGGGGTCACCTCGGGGGGAAGGAGGGGGGAGATTCCCGAGGGGAATTTGGGCTCCAGGGGAGTCTGTCCCCGTCACCGGCCCCGGGCTCGAAGCGTCTCCGTCCCGAGGCCCCGAACGGCCCCGAAATTCCCCCTGGGAAGCGCTCCCGGCCCCCCCCGGCGCTCCCCCCGTCCCTCTGGAGCTGTTCCGTGTGGCACCGGGTGTGGAGGGGCCGCCGCCGCCTCCGCCGCCGCCTCCGCGACCCACGGGGGGCCTGGGGGTCCTGGGGAATGTCCTGGGGTCCGGGGGCTCAGGGGCCCGGGGAGGGTCCTGAGGATCTCAGGGGTTGTCCTGGGGTCCCGAGCAGGACTCGCTGGCGCTGGAGCGGGCGGTGACCGAGGCCATCGTGCGGGGGGACAGCGGGGACCCCCCCGGGAGCCTCCTGGGCCCCCGGAGCCGCTGCTGCGCTTCCAGGCCCGCGCCCGCAGGGGGGGTTCGCGCCGGGACCCCCAAGTGCTGCTGCGGCTCCGGCCTGTCCTCGACCCCCCGCCGCTTTTCCACGAGTTTTTCCACTTCCTGAGGAGTTTCCTGCCCGAGATGGTTCGGCAGCGCCTGGGAATGGGGCGGGGGGAGGGGGGCGCGTGACTCCCGAGGGGGGAGATGGGGGGGAATTTTGTACGTCCTGAGTTTTTCCAGTAAAATCCCTTTTGCGGTGGCTCCTGCGTGGGGTTTTTTCTGGTTAAGACCCAGAAAAATTACGGGTGTTAATACTAACAATGGTAATTAGAAAATAACTGATGGGGGCATTTAGGACCTGGGGGGGAATCTGTTTTCAGCGTGTCCTGGGTGGGTTCCTAGAGGGAATTTTGGGGAGAAAATGGAAAAAAAAAAGCGGCTCTCGGGGCCAAAAATCCCCTTGAACGGTCCCTCCTTGTCCTGATTTATTCCTGGAACTTTCCTTATTTCCAAGATTTGGGGCCTCCCAGAAGGAGCTCAGGTGGGAATTTCATTCGTTCTGGAGGCGTTTGGGCCTGAAAAACCGTGAAATTGGGAAAAAAATAAGGAATGATGTTGATGATGATGATTAGAATAATTTAATATAAACTAAATAGAAGTTAAATATAAAACCCTTCTATTTATACAGAAGGGGCGGGGCGTGGGCGGGGCCAGCCCTGCCCAATGAGAGCGGCCGATACGGAACTCGCGCGCGATATGCAAATCACCCTGAAGGGGCGGGGAGAGCGCGCACGGGCGGCCAATCAGGCAGGAGGGGGTGGGGTTATGCAAATCGAGCCCCGTTTCTGTCCCCTCCCCTCTCCGTGACGTCACTCGAGCGCGACGCCGTCTCCGCAGCGACGATGGCGCTGAACGCGGGTGCGGCCCCGGCGGGACCCCCGGGAAACCCTCCGGGAAACCCCCGGGATACCCCCCCAACCCCCCGGCAACCTTCCGGGAGAACCCCTAGGGACCCCCAGCTGGGGATCCTCCGAAACTCTGAGCCCCTCTCCACGTCCTGGAGACCCCCCCGGAGAGCTCCCGTTCCCCCCCGACCCCTCCCGTGGTAACCGGGACGCCCCTCCCCCGGTAACGGGACCGCCCCATGCCCCTCTCTGTAACCGGGAACCCCCTGTAACCGGGTCCCCCCCGTGCCCCCCATAACGGGATCCCCTTCGGTAACCGGGACCCCTGTAACGCGACCCCTCCGGTAACCGGGTCCCCTGTGCCTCTCATAACGGGACCCCTCCGGTAACTAGGACCCTCCTGCAACTGGGACCCCCATAACGGGATCCCCTCCGGTAACCGGGACCCCCCCATAACGGGTCCCCGCCGTGTCCCCAGCGGCAGAGGAGGCGGAGGCGCGGCGGGAGCGGCAGGATCGGCTCAGCCGGACCATGGGGGGGCTCCTGCTCCGGGGGTACCGAATGCTGGGGAGCTGCTGCCCCCGCTGCGGGGTGAGACCCCCGGGACAGCGCCGGGATAACCCCGGGACAGCGCCGGGATAACCCCGGGAGGGGGGCTGGGAATGGGGGTGGTGGGTGATGGGAGGGGGTGGGAACCCCGGGATTGAGAATTGAGGGTGAGACCCCCGGCCTGGGGGTGGAATTCTGGGAGGTCTGGGACCCCCCAAGAACCAGGGGAGGGAATCGGGAATTGGGGAATTAGGGGTGGGCTGGGAATGGCTGGGGGAACTGGGGGCCTTCCAGGGGTCTCACCTCCTCTGACCCTCTTTCCCCCCAGACGATCCTGCTCCAGGACAAGGAGCAGCGGCTCCTCTGCGTGACCTGCCAGGACTCCCAGGGGACGGGGCGGGGGACGGCACTGGCCGGGGGGTCGGGAATTGGGGGAATTTGGGGGAATTTGGGGAAGGGCAGGGCTGGGAATGGCATGGGGGAATTGGTAAGGGGAGGCTGGAACGAGTGGTTTGGGGGCTGGGGTGAATTTGGGGGCTGGGGTGAATTGGGGGTTAAGGGTGGGGGTGGGGAGGGAAGTGAAGGGGCTGGGAATTGGGAGGGGATGGGAATTTGGGGAGGAGTGGCACCCAAAAGTACCGAGGAGGGGCCACATCTCTGCCCTCCCCCTCATTCCCCTCCCTCCTTCCTCCCCTCCCCCCAGCTCCTGACCCTCCCCGCGCCTCTCCCGCCGCCCCGCCCGAGCACTGCGAGCGGCAGCTGCCGTCAGGGGGCCCCCCGGCCCCCGGAGCCCCTGAGCTCGGGGAGGGGGCAGTGGGGCTGCAGCGTCGCGGTGCTGGCCAAGCTGGGCTGGGCCGCGCGGGAGCTGCCCCGGACGGGCTCGGCCGAGGGGAGTGCCCAGCTCTGCGCCCTCGTCAGCGCCTGCGCCAGCGCCCTGAGGGGGCTGCAGGGCCTGGACCCCCCCCGGGGGGCTCCCAGCACCCCCCTAAACCCTGAGAGCCCCCCCTGAGCCCCTCTGAAACCTTGGACATCCCCAGAACCCCCTGAGCCTGCGCCAGCGCCCTGCGGGGGCTGCAGGGCCTGGACCCCCCCCGGGGGGCTCCTCAGCACCCCCCCAAACCCTGAGAGCCCCCTGAACCCCCCCCAAACCCCTGGACATCCTCAGAATCCCCCAAAACCCTGAGCCCTCGGGCCCCCTGAACCTGCGCTGAGGCCTTGGGGGCTGCAGGCCCTGACCTCCAGAGCCCCCAGAGCCCCCCATAAATGTGCTGCCTGTAGGTCCCCTCCCCATCCCCAGTGTCTCCTGTTTGTGTTGGGGGGGAGGGGGATCGATCGAGGATCATGATGGGAGGATCAATGGATGGGGAGGGGATCAATGGATTGGGAGGATCAATGGATCAGGAGGGGATCAATGGATGGGGAGAGGATGAATGGATGGGGAGGGGATCAATGGACTGGAGGGGATCAATGGATCAGGAGGGGATCAATGGATCTGGAGGGGATGAATGGATGGGGAGGGGATGAGTGGATTGGAGGGGATGAATGGATGGGGAGGGGATGAGTGGATTGGAGGGGATCAATGGACTGGAGGGGATGAATGGATGGGGAGGGGATGAATGGATTGGGGGGATCAATGGACTGGAGGGGATCAGTGGATCAGGAGGGGATCAATGGATGGGGAGGGGATCAATGGACTGATCCCAAAAAACGCCTGGCAAAGGGAGGGGGGAGGAGCAGGCCTGGTATGAGAGGGGGGTCGTACAAAAAAGGTTTGATAGGAAGGGTTTGATCCCAAAAGGTTCTGATTTTGATATAAAAGGGGTTTGATATAAAAGGGGCTTGGTGAGGAGCAGGT